ACTCTTTTAAAACTACTCTCAGTCTGAGTGGCTGACTAGAGTTTAGCTGTAAAAACAAAGCTGTTTCCTGTCAGAATGATAAACTGAACACAGAGTCGCGTACACACATACGTATGTATAGCCAATCATGCCAGTTAGCTAGAAAGCTTACGATTACAATTATACAAGAATTACAATTTCTTTATTTTAAATAGCCTAAATGATCAAAATTAGCCTAAATTTCCATGCATATGAGCTGGAAACTGGATTTCTTATTGTTATTTTCTTTTATGAAAAAGAGTTCAACTGAATAAAAAGGCAGATTGTACGTAATGTTCTTATAACACTATAAAATTGTTATTTTGCATCAACAGCTTTATCTCGATACAGATAAATATTCTTATATTGTCCATCCCTATGTGAAAGATAGCACTGGTAGTAATGTTTACATTTACAAAACTTGCTAATTTTTATTTATTGATTGACTGACTGACTGTCTGTAAAACTCTGTATGAAAAAGCCTTTGGCTTTGTCGCTCCACTCTGTCGCACGTGAAAAATAAGGGACTTATTGATAGTTTTGTCCTGATTTATTAATAATTGGAAACGGTCTGTCATCCCAGCCATGTTAGGTTACATAAAACTGAGTCAGAGATCTGACAGACTCTTTTCAAACTACTCAATCTCAGTCTGAGTGGCTGTGGAAGATTTACCGACAAACTGGCGAGACTCTTCTGAATTCTCATAAATAAAAGAGCGCCCTTCGTTTGGACTGAAGAGGCAGGTTAATTCTTTCTCATACACAACACACTCACACCTAGAACATTATTTCATGCCTGAGGAGAGGACTGTAATCATCACCATCATGGAACTCATCTTGGTTTAATGTTGTAGATATGATGAAGCAGGGCAGCACAAGGACAATCCAGAACATTCCACGGACACAGCAGACAGGGGAGCCATTTATATTCATGAGAGTGAGAGACGAAATCTCTGTCTTAAACATGCATGAACACACGCACAGGACAGCAGGACACGGGACGGGCTCTCTAGTCGTCCCCATGTGCAAAGCTCAACATGCTGAATAATGGAAAAAGCTCTTTTTCCTCTCTCAGACTTCACCTCTCTCTATACCTGAGTAGCTCCTACAAACATGAGTTATTTCTCATAGGAAGCAATACAACAGCTCTGCTGTTAGCGTTACAGCTTATAGAGCCCATATCACAGAAAACCTGCTTAAGTCCAAGGGATGAAGCTGAAAATGCCCATGTAAAAATGACTTACAATCCTTTTTGGTACATAAAACCACACAAATATCAAATGGATCCAGGGGAAAAAATGAAATACACGATAAATGTAGCATATGGGCCCTTTATGCATTCACCACTAATAACTCTGCCCTCGTTTTAAGCCTCTTTTTTCCCTCCAACACAGCAATCTTTCCTTATCTCCATTCAACTCAACATAGTCCTCCAGGGATCAGTCTACTGAAGGATGTCCCTTTTACTGCCAACCACGAACACGCCATCCACTCAGGCATGTAAAAGACAGCCGAGTCACTGGCAGGTCACTGTAATATATGGGCGGCTTCATGGAAGACGTGTTCAGTGAGCGTGTAAAAATGTACTCATTCACAGCTTAGCAGTTAAAGTTATGTGAAAGGAATTGACCGGCTAACCCGACTTCTCAAAGTTACTGTGGACATCACTGCCACAACAGCGTTTCCCATAAAAATGCAGTCTGACATGGGCCATTCTAACAGCAAACCTGAGAAGCTTTTAAGCTCTGAATACATTCGATCAGCACAGACAGCACCGGTCTGATATCCGTCAGAAAATGCTGGATCAGACAGCACAGAAAAAATATGAATGAATCTGAAATCTTATCTGATTCGATAACAAATCCAGCCTGAAATATCACAGAACTGCTTGCAGTGCAACATAAAATAAAAATGTGATTACTAGGAAGGGCCATTTCAGTTAAATACGATATCTGAATTTGCAAGGAATTATTTAAAAAATATTTAAATAATATCTTCTCCCCTAAAAAAAGGTAAAAAAACTCTACACTAGGATTGGGGTCGATTCTCAGATGCATCGCGATGCGGACGTGGATGATTCTGAATCGATTCTCAAATGTCAGAAAAAGATTTTCTCAATGTTAATTGATAACGTAGCGTCACCGTAGCTGCGCATTTTAACGCAGATGAGTGGCAGCCTGCGTCTCATGTGCCCCAAACAAGAGCAGTGAATGAGAGCCTTCCAGTTGACTTGCCACATCACGTCCATTTGTTTTATTAATAAAAGATATTGGAAGTAAATTCATTATGGATCATTACAAATACTTTGCTTTAAAAGCACCAAGTCGTCACAGTGAGAAAAAAGAAATCCTGTATAGAAAAAAAAGGATGCAAAGTTGCATCGATAATCGTTTTATAATCGCATCACAGCCTCTGAATCGTAATCAAATCGTGAGGTGCCTAGAGACTCCCACCCCTACCCTACACCGCTCAGCATCTCACTATCACTGTACTAAACCCAGAACACAAATCCATCCAAGTCTTAATGATAAACAGACAACTGTTAATCATCTATATCAATTATTTGTACCTCAGCTAACATATACTGTATATCTTTTGAATACATAGTGAGGAGTGAGTTAGCTGATACCAAACAGGATAGATAACGACCCCAAGTTTCATGTTTAGTACTTTTCTGTGACGCTTCCTATGTGCTACGGCTGCTCTTTGTGGTAGCCTTTAGGTGGCTGTAGTTGTTCCTCTCTGAACTAAATAGATTAGAACCTTTGACCAAAACATAAGGTTCTTCCATTACCCTCTGGTAGAGTACAGAGTTCACACATCTTTCCTATGAGTATGTTCTTATGTTCTTTCTTATGAGAATGTATTACACTGGAAAGAAGCTCATTCTGAATATGGAAATTTTAAAATTTCATGACTTATCCCGAGAGATCACAGTAGGCACGTTCGGCCTCGTCTCTCAGGTCAAGCTTCTGCCTAACGGCAAACAGTCTGGTACTTTTCAGTGCGAAACGAGGCCAAGAACCTTTTTAGAAAGATGCTGTTTGACTGACTGACATGTAAGACACCCATTGCTTTAGCGCAGCATGTAAGCAGAGGTGATTGTGAAAAATTCCACGGATATATATCTTGCTCTAAAAGGCTGATTTTTCCAATTTTTTTCCAACGTCCAGTGCAGGCAGCTGTTCGCTATTCCTGACTAGAGTTTAGCTGTAAAAACAAAACTGTTTCCTATCAGAATGATAAAGGATGCACGAAGTTGTGTACACACAGACATGCGGATAGCCAATCAGAATGCCAGCTATTACAATTATACATACATACATACATACATAATCTAAACCGCTTATCCTTCTGGGTCGCGGTGGGGTGCTGGAGCCTATCCCAGCTGTCATTGGGCAGAAGGCAGGATACACCCTGGACAGATCACCAGTCCATCGCAGGGCATACCTTTATTTCAAATAGTCTAAGTTTCCATACATACAAAACTGGAAACTGCATTTTTGTTGTTTTCTTTAATGAAAAAGAGCTCAACCGAATAAAAAAGCAGTTTGTATGTGGGTCGTTCTCCATTTGGAGTGGGAAACCATGTCACAAAGGTTGGCAAGCTTAAAAAAGATGCTTAAAATATTAGGCACAGCTCCAAAAGTCAGTATGTACATTTACACAGTTGATCTAAGATTAAATATTACTTTTCTCTTCTGATTCTCTGATTTTCTTTCTTTATCCTGTTTCATAGTTGCTCTGCATCTGTAAAACAGCTCATCACAAAACCAATTTCCAACAGTTGAGAAACCATTTTTTATATAAAACAATATTTTTAAGAGGTTTGACAGAGAAATCTGTATAAAACAGATTCATGTTTACTTTTTATATCATTGAAGTTAGACTACATTTTAAAAAATATGTATTTTATTTAACAAATTCATTTGTCACAGAGATTTTGGTCACTGTTGTTCTCAGGACCCTTATATTACATTTTAACACAGTATTTTCAGCTCTATTAAACTGCTTCTTTGGGTCGAGGCTCATCAGAGAGGAAGCGTTTCAAGGCATGAGAAGGCGGGTCCATGCTCGATCACTATATTTCATTAATTTATTAATAATTTTGTTTATCAGGCAGCTCATAACTTCTATATGTCACCAGTGTTATGTGCTTTAATGGCTGGGTAATTAAAATTTTGTCAAAATAATGCCAAATATCATTTTTATTACTGATTTTAAATAGTTGCACAAGCTCACCTGACGGCCAACGAGTCAGCCAATTTACAAAATCCTTAATTCTAACCAGAATGTCACTGGAGTCACAGTCACTGGTGTTACACCATATTCATACAACACCAGTGACTGTAACATATGTGTGGAATTGAGCTCTCCTTTTTGCATATATGATAATAGGAGATGTTAATGGATATAAGATTATTTAGTTTTGGGATGAAAGAAACTGATTTTTTGTATGTATGTATCCACCAGAATTCCCACTCCAAAATGAAGAATGACCCATGTAACGTTCTTACGTAGCTTGTTTGAATATGGTACGGTCATTGATCTAGTCATTAAAAGAAAAGTAAATCAATCAATCACTTACACCTTTAAAAGAGGTCTTGGGCCATTAAACCCATTGAAGTTGGAGGACATATTGATTATTTGACAGCTTGGTAATTATCATCTGATTCAAGCAGTGCTTCAGACGGCAGCAAATGAACATTTACCCAGGCAGTGGCTGACTGAGTTTTCAGACAAAACTTTCATTGTCACCAACAACTGACATTAAAAGAAAGTGTGTAGGGAAAGCTGTGTGTGACTCAGGGTACATTGATTCACTGACCTTCACACATACAGCACGCGAGAGGTGTACCGATAACACCGCAACCTGTCACCGTACGCATTACTCACTAGGCGAGAACGACCAGAGGAGAGAAAACCCCACGCCATATCACGACACACAAAAAAACTAAATATAAAAACGCTCTGTCACTCACAGCAGAGGCACCTCCACGATGAGATGCACCAAGTTACAGACCAGCTCCTCCAGGAGATCTTCACTGTTTGACTCTGAAACACACACAGGCATACAAATAGGTAAGATATCAGCCTCTAAGCACCATCATCAGGTTATTTTAATGTAGTTTTTATATATTGTAAGGCAGGGGTCATCAACTTCTGTCCTAGAGAACCAGAGTTGAGCGCAATTTGGTGACTCCTTCCTCTAAAACGTCAAACCTGGAAAATAATGGGTTAATCAAGTGTGATACAAATCTCCAAACTATGCTGGACTAAAGTCCTCTTGGACTATAACCGATGATTCCTGCAATATTTATCACCCGGCCAATAAAAATACCACAATATGAAGGTTTCACAGATTAATTAGTTTCAGTAAAAATCCTACCCATAAGCACTAATATTTACAAATAGCTTTTATCGCAATAAACACAGTCATGCTCCATTCGGTAGTCGGCATCACGTCCATATAGTAAGAAGTCATTGTCCAAGTGGTTTTTCTCTATGGGAAAAAATGAATGTAATTTTTAAACATCACTGCTGTGTTAAACAAAACTGTGCCAAACCAGATACGCTTTGTCCTGTGTACATTCTCACCCCACACTGTCTCTGAATCACGAGGTCATTTAGTCAAAATATGAATACAGCTACATTCTTCACATTGAATTGACATAAACACAAGTCTTACTACTACTACTACTCCACCTTCTACTACTCCACCTTCTACTACTCCACCTTCTACTACTCCACCTTCTACTACTCCACCTTCTACTACTACTACTATTGCTACTACTACTCCACTTCTACTACTCCTACTCCTATTACTACTACTACCACTACTACTACCACCACCACTACTCTTCCTCCTCCTCCTCCTATCACTACTACTATTGCTACTACTACTCCACTTCTACTACTACTCCTATCACTACTACTATTACTACTACCACCACTACTCTTCCTCCTCCTATTACTACTACTACTACTACTATTGCTACTACTACTCCACTTCTACTACTCCTACTCCTATTACTACTACTACTACTACTACTACCACCACCACTACTCTTCCTCCTCCTCCTCCTATTACTACTACTATTGCTACTACTACTCCACTTCTACTACTCCTACTCCTATTACTAACTACTACTACCACCACCACCACTACTCTTCCTCCTCCTCCTCCTATCACTACTACTACTATTGCTACTACTACTCCACTTCTACTACTCCTACTCCTATTACTACTACTATTGCTACTACTACTCCACTTCTACTACTCCTACTCCTACCACCACCACCACCACTACGCTTCCTCCTCCTATTACTACTACTACTACTCCACCTTCTACTACTCCTACTCCTATTACTACTACTACTACCACCACTACTCTTCCTCCTCCTCCTCCTATCACTACTACTATTACTACTACCACCACTACTCTTCCTCCTCCTCCTCCTATTACTACTACTACTACTACTATTGCTACTACTACTCCACTTCTACTACTCCTACTCCTATTACTACTACTACTACTACCACCACCACCACTACTCTTCCTCCTCCTCCTCCTATTACTACTACTATTGCTACTACTACTCCACTTCTACTACTCCTACTCCTATTACTACTACTACCACCACCACCACTACTCTTCCTCCTCCTCCTCCTATCACTACTACTACTATTGCTACTACTACTCCACTTCTACTACTCCTACTCCTATTACTACTACTATTGCTACTACTACTCCTACTACTACTCCCACCACCACCACTACGCTTCCTCCTCCTCCTCCTATTACTACTACTCCACCTTCTACTACTCCTACTCCTATTACTACTACTACTACCACCACCACCACTACTCTTCCTCCTCCTCCTCCTATTACTACTACTATTGCTACTACTACTCCACTTCTACTACTCCTATTACTACTACTACTACTACTACTACCACCACCACCACTACTCTTCCTCCTCCTCCTATTACTACTACTACTACTACTACTACTACTACTATTATTGCTACTACTACTCCACTTCTACTACTCCTACTCCTACTCCTATTACTACTACTACTACTACTACTCCACTTCTACTACTACTCCTATTACTACTACCACTACTACTCCTCCTCCTCCTCTTACTACTATTACTCCTCTACCTTCTACTACTACTACCACCACTACTACTACCACCACCACTACTCCTCCTCCTCCTATTATTACTACTATTGCTACTACTACTCCACTTCTACTACTACTCCTCCTCCTATTACTACTACTACCACTACTCCTCCTCCTCCTCCTATTACTACCATTACTCCTCCACCTTCTACTACTACCACAACAACAACTTCTACTACTCCTCCTCCACCTTCTTCTACTCCTACCGCTGCTTCTATTACCACTACTACTCCACCTTCTACTACTACTACCACCACCACCGCTACTCCTCCTCCTCCTATTACTACTATTACTCCTCCACCTTCTACTATTACTCCTCCTCTTCCTCCTATTACTACTATTACTCCTCCACCTTCCACTACTACTACTACTCCTAGTCCTCCTCTTATCATCACTCCTCCACCTTCTACTACTACTACTACTACTGCAACTACTCCACCTTCTACTACTACTACCACCACCACCACTCCTCCTATTACTACTATTACTCCTCCACCTTCTACTACTACTGCTGCTTCTATTACTACTACTACTACTACTCCACCTTCTACTCCTCCACTTTCTTCTACTACTACTACTGCTTGTATTACTACTACCTACTACTACTCCACCTTCTACTACTACCACCACCACCACTACTACCACCACTACTCCTCCTCCTCCTATTACTACTATTACTCCTCCACCTTCTACTACTACTACTACAAATACTCCACCTTCTACTCCTCCTCCACTTCTTCTACTACTGCTTCTATTATTATTACTACCTCTACTCCACCTTCTACTACTACCACCACCACCACCACTACTACTACTACCACCACTACTCCTCCTCCTGCTCCTCCTCCTATTACTATTACTCCTCCACCTTCTACTACTACTACTACCACCACCACCACACCTTCTACTCCTCCTCCACCTTCTTCTATTACTACTACTGCTTCTATTACTATTACTACCTCTACTCCACCTTCTACTACTACTACCACCACCACCACTACTACTACCACTACTCCTCCTCCTATTACTATTACTCCTCCACCTTCTTCTACTACTACTGCTTCTATTACTATTGCTACCTCTACTCCACCTTCTACTACTACTACCACCATGACCACCACCACTACCACCACTACTCCTCCTCCTCCTCCTCCTCCTATTACTACTATTACTATTACTACTACTCCTTATCCTCCTATTACTACTACTACTACTACTTTCAACACTTAGCAATACCAGCTACTCAAACTGTAGCCTACTACTGCTACATTTGACAAAGCTTGCTGGTTTGTGTGGGATGTTTTGGTGAGGTTGTCAGTCTTATGATGTCAGTTCAATGCACAACATTCTTAGCTTACATGCAGCATAATTCACATTTTGACTCCTTACCAACCTCATAATTCAGAGGATCTACAGACATTCAGGGGGAAAAGTTTGGGTGGCAAAATGTACCACGCTTGGAGCATTTTTGTTTTCCCACAGGACATAATTTTCAAAAATGCCAAAACTTTTTCCCCATAGAGAAACGGTTCCCAACGTGGTCATGACACAGACATGAGAATGACAACATAACTTCAGAGGGTCCATTTCTGAGAATTTCAAAAGAAGAATTTATGACAGTCATGAACGCTGAATGGGTAAACCTGGACATAAAAACACGAACTGATAAAACATAAGAGTCAATTTGAAGAAAACAACAAAATCGCTAATAGTTACGGGAATCAATTATTGTAACATTTATATTGTTTAAGACCTTGGGATTTTCTGTTTATTTCATTTGATGAAACAACTGAGCGCAATCTTAACTTATAATATACAGTTGCCTGATAGCAATTATTTCAGTCCTTAAAAAAAAACTAAACATATATCACATTGGTCGATTTTAACTCCTTAAAATCAGAATTGATAACAAAATTTCCCATATCAGTCAGGCCCAAGATACCAGAGTCTCATGGACACCTAAGGCAGTTGTTCCCAGCCTTCTTAATAGTGTGGAGTGTACTGCAGCCCACAGGGGGTCTGACAGTCGATGCACATGACTAACTTATGTTTTGCTGTTGTCAAGGAATGTTTTTATCTCCAAATGGCAACTGGACGGCTTCATAGCCTTAATTGCTAGCTTCTCTCCAGATGCCACACACAACGGATTTGGGACATTCAAACCCCAGTGGTACTTTATAAAGCAGTCATCATACTTTAGACTGAATAATCCTTTTTTTCTGGGTATCATTTTCATTCCTGTCTTCAATGGGTTTTTAATGGGGTTTAAAGCCCCAGTAAAATTTTGTTAAAATTGTCAGTTTCATCATTTTTTCCATCTACATCAGCCATGACCTGAAAGTAGCCTTCCCTAAAAGTAGCCAAGAAATGTGATGTAGGCTGTGTGTCATTTTAATGGAAATAATAAAGCTATGTAAAATCCTATTGTAATAATATTAAGAACATAAATAATAAACACAAAAATATTGGAGTTCTCCCCTGCTGCTGACAGGTCTGCAGCCCTGTGGTTGTGAACCTCTGGTCCATTATTTTGGAGGAAATCAGAAGTTCAGAGCGTCCACATTTGTTATACCTCTGCAATTTTAATGTTTTTCAACCTGTCAACCCCAACAAAGCATTGCAGGATGAATGAAATGGGTCTGGTGTATGTGTGACTTACCATAGGTGCCTGGCGCCCTCGCCTGGTAGGAGAACTGTAAGTGCAGCTCCTCCTCGCTCATCTCCCTGATGAAGACTTTCAGCAGACATCGCACAAGAAAGAGGGCATTATGGGCCTGCCAGATGAACAACTGACTATAAAGAAAGAGACAGAGAAAGACAAAGCTTGTAAGTGATTCATTAATTACACACTCTGTTTCATTTTCACTGACCACAGTCCCTCTTAACGTCCTAATAAAAGAGTGCTAGAGCAGAATAAACAGCCCACATAACAACTGCACGACACTACATTTTCCCATATCAGCACCTTTTCAAGCCAGATTCTCATCTCCATAGTTTGAGCGCTCCCTAAATGGTAAATTAGTAACCAACAGCAGCATGTGAACGGCTGAAACAGCTTTACACACGCTCCGTGACTACCTCCAGAGGTTATGAATTGCCCTCTTACAAACCAGCATGCGCACGGCAGCCTTCCATTCGTTTAGATGCATCTCTGTGGATAGATCATAGAGGAAAGAAGGGCTACTCCCCAAGTTTTCTCATGGGAAAGCCTAACCATCGGCCAGGACTTCAGCACGACCACAGAGAAACCACAATGGCAGATACAGAGTGTAGTGGAGACAGTAAAAATCAGTAAACATTTCCTAAATGCTGGGAGTACTTAGGAGACCATGTTCATACAACATGCTTCTCCTCTGTGAATTCAACTTTTCTCACAAGGTTCTTCAAAGGCTCTGAGTAGCATATAAGCACTACTACAGTTGATATACTACCAGTAGTTAAAGAGGAATTCCACGGATTTCACAAAACTTCTGCATAATTAAGCTTTAAAGGTGTAAACAAAGTCACTGACGGTAGTTCAATGTTAAAAAATAAATAAATAAATAAAAATAACAGTTTGATGTTACTAAAAAACCCTGTTTGTGTTCAAATAGTTCGAGCTGAGGCACATAAACAGCAAAACACATGGCATATGGCTCACAACGGCTCTTTCACTACCCTGTTGTGGCTCCACAGCAGAATCAGATTTGTAGGTAAAAATAAAATAATCCTCCTTTACAGTAAAATAAAGCTCTGCTGATCGTTCAACACAGTTTTAACAATAAATGGTCTTAAACTCTGGAGTTAATGTAGAACTGCTAATTCACCCTTTAACCCTGAAAGTTGGTGCACAGACTGCTGGTCACCATAGCAACAACAACAATCTCACCTGGCTAGTGCTAACGAAAAGGCAAAAAGACGTATGGATTTGGAGGCGAATGGACTTGCATTCATAAGCACTCAGCTGGTTTCCTGATTCGTTTAATCTGCAAAGAGAAACTGTCCAACACTAAAAAGTTGCAAGGCTGAAGTCAGCTTCTTGTTTGAATTGTCCCGTTCCACCTTAAATGGTGCTTGAGGTGCCTGAATGTAACTGCTGCGCCATTTAAGGTGGAACGGGACAATTCAAGAAGCTGGTGAATGAGTAGCGACTTCAGCCTCAGAAAAAGGCAAACGCTGAGAGACATTTTACAAGAAAATATTCCACTTTTGCAGAAAAGTTTCCTGCCGGAGACGCGAGAAAAGCAGTTATACCCGATTTAAAGCTTAAAGAAGAGCAAAGTAAGTCTGTGTTTTATATATTTATTATAATTATTATTATTATATTTTTGTCTATACTAGCACATTAACATATACTAAGATATATTTACAGCCAAGATGGTAAAATGGACATAAAATGTTGTGGCTCTCAAGGTGGTTTGATCTTTGTTGAAAAGACAAGACTCTTCTTAACATTTGGGTTGGGCCTAAATAAAACATCAAATTATATATATTAAAAAAAGTCTTTATTTCAGTTTGGTCAAGAATTTTATTTCGGTGTATCATCATCAAATACTGTTTTCATTTCAACAGAATAATGTAGTGATTTCGCAACAAAAATCATTTAACAGTTATCCACAAAATACATCTGAATCTTTTTAAATCACCCACATGGAGAATGTCCCTCCTGCACTTACTCTTGGCATTCAGTGGAGATCTTCAGCTCTTTGGTTCGTCCCAGGAAAACTCTCACCAGAGCTCCGAAATTCCCTGACCTGGGGTTGTTCTCAACTAGAGACAACAGAACAAAAACAGCTCAAGTCTTTGATTAGAAGACCGAAAAGAAATGCTGACTCCAGAGCAACAAATGTCATCTCAGCTACTCAACAAGCACACGGCACAGAGCCCTAAAATTACAGATTTCAGTTCCAGCAAACACTGTGTATAATTTGGTTGTGTTTCATTTTTCTAACTTGTGTTTCCATGAGAAAGCCACAAACGGCAGCTGTATTGCGATTTATGAAAACAAAGAGCAATAAACCAATGAATAAAAGAAATACGAAACACACTTAGGGTTTTGGCAAAGGGAACCACGGCCTCCTCCAAGAGTTTAGCATCAGCACTGAAACAGAGAGAGAGAGAAAAAGATTCATCAGAAAAGATCACCAGAATTTGAGTAATACAATTTATCTCTTTCTGCTATTTTCCACTCTCCACCACTCATTTGGGGCACAAATCCAGGCCACCAAAGGCCAGAGCAGGACAGTGTGTGGCCCATTTATTCGAATGATCTTCAGCGCAGGCCAACAGCAGCAATTAGAGGTTGTATAAAGGGGGTCACTGAGAAAGCCACTGTATTTTTGAAAAGCCCACTTTAATTAAAGTGATAATAAATAAATTAATTCATTCATTTTGAAACTAAGTTAAATTAAGTAAGCAGGTAATACTCCAAAGGCATTTGATCAGCCAATACATGTTTGAGATGTCTACAGTGCAAACAGAGCCATTTTATTTACTACCCAAAATTACCAGTGAACCTACACATGTCTTGAGTTTTTATATGTATTTGTATTCAGGTATTCAAGTATCTATATGTTGATGATGGTAAACTGGGGGAAAATCTGAAAAAATAAGTTTCTTCAGGGAAAATTTTGCCTTTTCCCCCTGCATGTACCTCTCCACCATGAATGTACTTTAAAATACAGGGTTCAAAAAGATTCATCTGATTTCAAAGCGCCACGTTTTTACAACCGTGAGGCACCTAGGAACCAATCACAATCCAACTGAAAGAGGGGGTCATAGAGTTTCTGACTGTCAGTATGGCAGTGAACCTCCAACAGCTCAGAGCATTCATCGTTGGCACCAACAGTTCCAAGACAAAGGTCACCAGCAAGACCAGATCTCACACCGTGTGACTTTTTGTGGGGGTATGTTAAGGACTCTGTTTATGTGCCACTCCCAACAACATTGGATGATCCCCGAAATCACACTGAAAGAGCCGTGAGTACAGCGACACCCAACATACTCAATCGAGTATGGGATGAATTTGACTGTGGCGTTGATGTTGTCTGTACAGCTGGAGGAGGTTCATACTGAGACCTTGTAAAATTACATAATCAACTTTATGCTCATTTAAACCATTTACAGTTTACTGCATTGTTCTGTAATGATTTACAAGTGAAATACATTCATCTGATTTCAAAATGATCTTTTTGAATCACCCTGTATTTTTGAGGGGCCAAAACATTTCCAAAACTATCATAAATCAAGGTTTGTGATAATCACAAAGTTCACAATCACAAGTTATTTGGGTAATAACTTTCTGTGATGGAGCTTTTAGTAGAATTCAACTCTTCAGACATCTGGTTCCTATCATCACCACTGTGATTAGTTTTGTATGTTTTTCTAGAACAGAGCCTTTCACATCAAACCACTCCGAATAACTTTGCATACATCTTAACTATTTAACTATGCAGACATTTTGAAAAATCTGCAAGCTTTAATAGTATTGCTTATGTGGTAACCAACACTGCATGACATACTGATATCTGTAAACATGAAGTGTGCTGTAGCTAAAAACAGTAGCAGCCAAGTAGCTCCAGTGCAAAACAAACTTCGGATGCTAAACATGTCTTGGCTGACTGACAACATTCTTGTGCATAAATTGGGTAAACTGGATTATTTTTTGGTAAATTATTGTTTTTATTCAACTTTTAACTTCTGCTTTCATTTCGATGGCTCAATACCTCTAATTCACCCTGTGCTCTAATTTGGTAGCTAATGCCTGTCCAGCGTGCAGTCAGCTCACAGGGCCATACACTCTCCAGCCTCATTCAGACATCCCTCCGTCCCTCCGGCCCAGCGGCTCCTGCCAGATGAGGTCATTTGGCAGCTGAATGGAACTGTCGCAGTCGATTATAAAGTCCGTCGCATGATTAGGACGGCGGTGAGCAGGATGTTTAATTTAGAATATTTTCCTCTGATTGTTTATCATTAATATGCTCAATAAAGCTTGCTAAGTCACAACCCAGATGGGTGAGTTCACCATCCGGAAAGCAAGTTGGCTGGATTTTTGAAGGATATGGTAAACAGAGCATGGTTTAAAAAGAAAATAAATAAAATAAATAAATATTTCCTTGACAGCCAAAACAGTTACATGCTCACTCGCCCTGATCTCTCTCTCTCACTCTTGGCCTCCAGGTGAAAGGCTGCGAGACGAAGGAAAGGAGGTGAGAAGGGGCAGAAACAGAGACATGACAGCTGCCCTGAACTCTACAGCACAAGGAAATGAAGCAATGCAGCAATGGCGGGGCAGAGAGAGGCTAAGAAAACCCTGAAGCTGTTATTAAAGGGAAATCATGACATCATCTGGCTAATTTTCCTCTAACAACAAGTAAATATTAACCCGTGATTAATTCACAAACATTTAAGCATGGCACCTGTTTCAGGTCAGTGGCAGGACATGAGCTAATTTCCAACACTGAAAAAGTTCAATTTTAAGACTTTGTTCTAAGATGAGCTAACGGCTAAATGTAAAAACAAGCCTTTATATACACAGGGTTCAATTAAGAACTTATTCAGTCTGTTTGTCATACTTAGGAAGTGTAGACACACACAAACAAACAAACACACACACACACACACACTAACTGCAGTGCTGAAAATGCTTCTACACCTTAAAGCTTTCCTTCATTTGAGAAATATAACTAAAGTTCAGCCTTTTGTATCTCAGAGCGATGCAGAGAAACGTGTTAATGCATTTGTTATAAGCAGAGTTGATCACTGTAATGCTCTTCTTGCTGGGCTTCCTAAGAAAACAACACATCCTCTACAACTCAAAACGCAGCAGTACGAATCCTAACAGACAAAACAGAGAGATTATATCACTCCAGCTGTGAAAGAACTGCACTGGCTGCCTGTATCTGTAGGATAGATTTTAAAGTTCTGCTGCTTGTTTTTAAGTTATTATGCTTCTGGAAACTGTGGAACTCAATTCCACCTTCTACTAAGTTTTAAGAATTATCTGAAAACGTATCTCTTGTATGTCACTTTGGTATTTCTTTTTAACTTTATCCATCTTGTCTATAACTGTAAAACAACATCATCTGTCTATAAAGCACTTTGAGCCGCCACCGGTACGAAAAGTGCTCTATAAATAAAGATATTACTATCATTATTATTAGTGATAGTAGTAGTAGCAGTAGTATATTAAACTGAGAGAAAGACGAATATGTACTAAAAAAGGTGTTTCTCAAGGGTTTTAGTAAAGGCTATGGCCACACTGTTAAAAACGAGAGGTCAGCTCAACTCAAAATGATATAGTAACCGATTACATGGCTTTTCTTGAGTTGACTCAACTTGAGGGCACAAGAGTTCACCCAACTCAAACTTCTTAGGTGAGTCAAAAGTTCTCTTAAGTCTTCTAGTTCTGCATCTCAGTTGGGTAAATACAATGAAAATTTTTATACTCAGCTTCCTCACCAGTCAGGACTCTCTCCATCACACAATCCTGCTAGACATTTTTCCTCTTGGGTGTGTACTTACGGATGGCTATGGCATCGCTGGGGCTTAAACTCACAATCTCCTGTTGGAGTGACGGCTTAGTCCACTGCACCGCTCAGGAACACGTGAAGCAACTCAGATTTTGTGTCTACAAATGTTTAATACACTGAAGAACGTATTTGTTGTTTTAACTTTCAAGTGTGCCATCGTCTCATGTGGTGCAGCTCTCTAATAATTCATCCCAACATCAGGACGTTGTGAGTTTGAGTCCCATCAATGCCATAGCTGTCCATACTCAGAAGCCCAGGAGGAAAATATGCCAGATGGGACTGTGTGATAGAAGGAGCGCCAGCTAGTGGGGAAACTGAGTTAGAAGGAAAAAAATAAAAATAATAATAAAAAAAAAAAAAGCTAATTCGGTTTTGTTTATCTATCTGAGATGCAGACCCAGAAACAGTAGCTGGGAGAACTTTTGACTCAACTAAGAAGTTTGAGTTGTGTGAACTCTGGCGTCCTCAAGTTGAGTCAGCTCAAGAAAAGCCATGTAATCAGTTACTATATTATTTTAAGTTGAGCTGACCTCACATTTTTTTACAGTGCATATATATAAACATGACAACTTGTACTATGTGAATGCTTACATGGTTCTTTGCATGGTAAAATGGTACTTCTCTATGATGGATAACCTATTGTGTGTGGTTCTTTAAAGAACTTTTTTAAACAATAAGCTATGCAGCACTAAAACAGGTAAAAGTATTGTTTTCGGTAATATACAGAAAATGTCAACCAGTCATGGATTTCAAATATATTTCAAATAAATTCACTATTCAAGTAGGCTACTCTCGCAAACATACACTCTCAGAAATAAAGGTGCGAAACTGTCACTGGGGCAGTTCCTCTCTTGTCACTAGGGTGGTACCCTCAAGGGTACATCTCAGTACCTTTAGTCAGGGAACATAACTGAACCATAATCCAATGAAATTATATTTTTTAGGTTATACTGACTCCACACACCCCGTCTCGTCTCCAGGCTTCTTATTTTATTGTTCTGTTTTAAAATATTAGATTATGAAAAGGTACAAATACGAACTTTTCACCTGGAATCAGACTTTAAAACCACTGTTGTACCTTTGAGGGCACATTTACATTGTTTGTACCTTGATGAACGAAAAATCGTACCTGCACAGAACCTTTATTTCTAAGAGTGTAAAAAAGCTCAGTATACCTCAGTACATGTTGGTAGGCTATCAGTCAACAACATAGGTACATATTAGCCTGCTATAATTGCAATTCAGTATTGTACTATGCTTTGATACTTTCTGTCTTGCAGCATTTTTTTTTACTTTCATCTTTGTATTTGTTAAGCCTTGGATCATACAGAACGAGGAACCAAGAAGCTTAATTTCCTCCCACGTCATTCAGACGAAACTATGCAGGCACATCCGCATTGTGCACAGACAATGGACAGCTGCTGATTGGTCCGCGGTGCACAACTGTTGCATGTAATATGCATAAGGCTGAAACCAGGGATGGGGAAGTAGCTAAGTAGCTTTGTAGCTAACTACAAATTTTTGTAGCTAATAGCTGTAGCAGCGATAGTTTTATGAAATATAGTTAAAAGCTGTAGCACCTACAAATTTGTGTGTAGCTATAGCGATACTTTTCAGTACAGTTTCACTACAGGCTTTAGACAATCCGCGCAAAATCTGAACCACACAACGCGGCCATTCACTGGGCTGGTGGCGACTGTGCAATCCTGACTGAGCCGCAGACAGTTCGAGCAAACGGTCACACGCTGATCACCCATTACTAGTAGGCTTAGCTCAGAGGTCCAAACTGAAATGTTAAGAAGAGCCATATTGTCTTTTCAACAAAAATGAAATCACCTTGGAAGCCACGACATTTTATGTCCGTTTTACCATCTTGGCTGTAAGTATGTCTCACTATGTGCTAATGCACTAGTTCAGGCTAAAAATATAATCTAAACAAAAACGCAGACTTACTTTGCTCTGCTTTAAGCTTTACCTCAGCCGCTTTTCTCGCATCTCAGTCAGGACACTTTTCCGCGAAAGTAGAGTTTCTTGTAAAATGTCTCGTAACGTTTGACTTTTTACGAGGCTGAAGTCGCTTCCCTTTCAGCAGCTTCTTGTTCTAATTGTCCCATTCCACCTTAAATGGTGCCTGAGGCACCAGAAAGTACTGCTGCGCCATTAAAGGTGGAACGGGAAAATTCAAGAAGCCACCGAATGAGAAGACGTCAGCTTCGCGACTTCCTGTTTGACAGTTTCTGATTGCAGATTAAACGAGTAAGGAAACCAACTGAGTGCTTATAAATGCAAATAAGTCCATTAGTCTCCAAATTACCCATGTTCGTCTTAAATCTTTCTCTTTGCCGTTTTCTAAACTAGCTACAATTTTAAATGCCGTGTCTTGTTCACATTTTCAGTTGGGCTTGTTTGGTGTGGAGATATACAAACATTCTGACAATCGCGCTTTGAAAGTAGCTAAAAAGTAGTGCACTACTTTTCAAAGAGTATCTAAAAAGTAGCCACTACTTTCTCTGGAAAAGTAGCTGATTTGTAGCTAGTTACAAATTTTGGGAAAGTAGCAACAAATTAGCTAGCTACTAATTTTTTAGTAGCTATTCCAACCCTAACTGAAACCAGCTCAACTTTTCTTGCACCACACACTATCCCACAATCCCGCACATTTTTTTACTACTCACTGTTGAAAACGAATGGGGGCGCAATTTCGGATGAGGAGCTCCCACACAGTGGACACATAAGAGTGCAGGAGAAAGGTGCTGTGAAAACTGACTGAGAAGTTGCTAGTATTAACTGTTATGGTGATGAGCAGCCACTCAGTCAATATCTGCCGCACCACCTTCTTCTTCTAAACACATATTTCACATAATCTTCAGAAATGTTCCAACGAACTCAGTTTCTTCTGTGAAACACTTTCGCCCTCAGTAAGTAAGGGTGACACTGTCTGTAATGGAAAGAGCCAGGCTCTGTGCTCACCTGCAGGTGGGGCTGGTGAAGGTGAAGGAGATGAGCTGGTTCCAGAAGGGCTCGTTCTCCGAGATTGACTCTGGACCAATCAGAGTGCGGATGCTCTGACTCTCCGACAGGTCGCTCACCTGACTGGTGTTGGCACCCATCGCCCCAGGCAACCACACCAGGCTTCTTCAGAGCCTCATCACCCACTGCTCCAAACCCTGCAGAACCAAAACAGCTTTACTCAAGCGCTTCAAGCACATTTTCACCTTTTCATAAAACATATATAAAACAAGATAACAAGATATAAGACAAATACTGATACATTAGCGCTGTGGTCTCCAATCCTGGTCCTAGAGAGCTACTTTCCTGCAGAGCTTAGTTCCGAGCACAGTTTGCCACACCTGCTCCAGTTAATCAACCTCTTCCCAGGTCCCTGACTGGCTGGATCAGATGTAGGGACTGGGCAGTTTATTGGATAGAGGTTAAATAACTCTGCAGGAAGTTGGCTAGAGACCACTGCATTAAATATATATTTACATATATGGATAAAAGTGTCTGCTAAATGCTGTAAATGTAAATTTATATGCATCTGTATCGACAGATACATATGTGTATATCAGCAATGGCCCAGAATTCCCAACAGGGCAACCCTAGTTCATTTTATTTTATTCTTTGATACTGTATTGAAATAGTTGCAACCTCATAGGCTCCTCATAGCATATAAAAGGCAGAAGTGGGGGGAAATATCGATTCTTAGATGGATCGTGATGCAGACGTGGACAATTCTGAATCGATTAGGCAATTGTCAAAAATTGATTTTCTAAATTTTGATTGATAATGTTGACGGAACGCAAAAGGTGGAACTTGGAAGTGCAGACAGTCAGACAGTCTGTGGCGGCACACAACAAAGACACAAGATAGATCAGCGAGAAATCCTCCCTCTGCATTAAAAGCTAGCTTATGGAAGCACTTCGGCTTCTATAACGTTGAAGGGAGAAAAGGACCTGGACAAGAGCCACACTATATGCAAGCTGCGTCACACTAAACTAAAATATTTTGGAAACACGACAAACATGAGAAACCATATTACACGTTTCCACCCAGAGGAGGAAGAAAAATGCCCCGTTGCAGACGCTGCCAACCAGAGGACCATCGGGCAAGCAATGTCAAAGCTTCCACCCCATTCGGAACCCAGTCTTTGAGAACCAGGGCTTTCGTGCTATGTTGCACACTTTGGAGCCGAGATGTCTCGAAGATATTTTAGGGATACAGCAATATCTACTCTACAACGAGACCCACTCTGCAACTCTACAACGGGACCAAAACTGAAGATCTACAATGAGACCAAAACTGAAGATCTACAACGAGACCAAAACTGAAGTTATGGAATCACTGAAGAAAATCGGTAGAGTAGCTGTAATATGATGCGTGGATATCCATTGCCACATATAGTCTTATGCCACCATCACTGTGCATTTTATCACAGATTAAAAAAGAAAAGCATCGACAGTCGTTTTATAAATCGTATCGCAGCCCTCTGATCATAATCCAATCGAATCGTGAGGTGCCTAGAGATTCCCTTCCCTATTGAAAGGCACTTTAATTGCGACTTATAACCTCTGACTTTCATCGACCAACACAAACAGTTACTGAAGATAAACAAAATAGCCCAATATGAGAAACAAAACTATTAACCACTTGTAAGCAAATGTATACAGATAATAAACCTATGGGCTTTTTATCTCTGCGGCTGTCCAACAGGGAGTTAATATAAAAGCCTGTAAACTAATCCTGTTCAAAGTACCATACAATCTACTTTTCTTTCAGTCTGGCAGGAACAGGAAATGAGAATGCTGTTTGGTACAGCTGTATTGCTATTTTGTGACAGTGGTTTATGATCCATCCTCTGACCTCATGTCAAATTTTTCCCTATTTAACCACAATACTATTAAAAACTAAACCAAAGATTTGTGCACAGTGTAGGGCAATACATTATCACTATATATTGTTGCTGTTCCATAAAGTGAATGAGAAAATGATCAGAGCAGGGACATCCATAATTTTAGCTCTTGTCTGTGATCATAAGTACAGCTCAGGCCAAATTCACCAAAGACCTCGGAGCAGGAGGACTGTGTGCAGACTGGTTTTGCATTTTAACACCATGAATAAGATGTAATCTGACTTTACATCAGCAACAGTTGTCTTTTTAAAAAAAGTCACACAAGCAGCTGAGCTGTAATTACCATCTTTGTTTGATGTATCGACAAGTACTGTATGCAGGTCACAGCTAGGATACAAAATACTGACATGCATTTTTCATCCTTTAGACCAGAGTGGTTCAAGCTTTTTGCCCTGGGGGGCAAAATCGTTAACTAACAATTTGTTAACCTTAATTTTTTTCCATGGTGCCACCATCTATGTACAACCCCATTTCCAAAAAAGTTGGGACACTGTACAGAACGTAAATAGAAATAGCAAGCAATGAAATGCAAATCATGTAAACCATATTTTTAAAGGAAAATACTACAAAGACAACATATCAAATGTTGAAACTGAGAAATTTAATATTTAAAAAAAATAATAAATTATGCACATTTTGAATTTGATGCCAACAACATGTTCCAAAAAAGTGGGCAGGGTTAACCACTGTGTTTCATCACCTCTTCTTTTAACAACACTCTGTATTTGGGAACTGAGGAGACCGACTGCTGTAGTTCTGAAAGTGAAATGTTTCCCATTCTTGTTTGATATAAGATTTCGGTTCTCATCAGTTCGGGGTCTCCTTTGTTGAATTTTTCATTTCATAATGCGCCAAACGTTCTCAGTGGTGACAGGTCTGGACAGCAGGCAGGTCAGTTTAGCACCCAGACTCATTTCTTTCGGAGCCACTACTGTAATACATGCAGAATGTGGTTTGACATTGTCTTGCTGAAATAATCAAGGCCTTCCCTGAAAAAGACGTTGTCTGGATGGCAGCGTATGTTGCCAAAACACATATATATATATATATATATATATATATATATATATATATATATATATATATATATATATATATATATATATATATATACACACATATACATATATACATATATATATATATATATATATATATATATATATATATATATATATATATATATATATATATATATATATAGTTCAGCATTAACGGTGCCTTCACAGATGAGCACGTCACCCATGCCATGTGCACTAATGCCCCCTATACCATCATGAATACTGGCTTTTGAACTGTACACTGATAACAAGCTGAGTGGTCTTTAGCCCAGAGGACACAGTGTCCGTGATTTCCGAAAAAAAAATTCAAATGTTGATTCGTCGGACCACAGGACACTTTTCCACTTCCCCTCAAACCATTTTAAATGAGCTCAGGCCAAGAGAAGCTGTCAGCATTTCTGGATCCTGTTTATTTATGGTTTCTTCTTTGCGTTTTAGAGTTTTAACTTGCTTTTGTGGATGCAGCAGCAAACTGTGTTCACAGTGGTTAAAGAAGTGCTTCTGAGTCCATGCAGTGATTTCCATTACAGAATCATGCCTGTTTTTAATGCAGTGCTGCCTGAGGGTCTGAAGATCACAGCCAGCAAATACTGGGTTTTGGCCTTTTCCCTTGCATTCAGAGATTTCTACAGATTCTCTGAATCTTTTAATGTTATTATGTACTGTAGATGATGAAAAGAAAAAAAGTTCTTTGCTATTTTAAGTTGTGAAACGTTATTCTTGAATTGTTGCACTATTTGATCGTGCAGTCCTTCACAGAGTGGTGAACCCCTCCTCATCTTTACTTCTGAAAGACTCCGCCTCTCTGAGATGCTCTTTTTCAAAACCCAATCATGTTACTGACCTGTTGCCAATCAACCACCAGGTGTGTTTTTTTAGCACTACACAACTTTACCAGCCTTTGGTTGCCCCTTCCCAACTTTTTTGGAACGTGTTGTTGGCATCAAATTCAAAATGGGCATTTATTTTTCACAAAACACAATAAAATTTCTCAGTTTCAACATTTGATTTGTTGTGTTTGTACTATTTTCAATTAAACACAGGCTTTAAATAATTTGCACATAATTGCTTTTTGATTTTATTTACATTTTGCACAGCAGCCCAACTTTTTTGGAAAAAATGCTGTTGTATATTTTTTAATTATTCCAGCAGTTTCCTTTAATATTAATGGTCTGAAAATCTTCTCTTGCCCATGTGCCACTGCCTGTTCTGCTCATAGCTGACTTGCATTCAATGTCAATGTGTGGTGTCAAGGGTGTCAAACAAATAAATGCATATCTAATATCAAACAAGATATATGAGAAGTTTCAATCAGGTTTTCGTTCTAACCGTAAGTACTGGGACAGCATTGGTTCGTGTTGTGAATTACCTGAGGCTCAGCGCTGATGCAAAAAAATCCTTCTAATTTGGATCTTAGAGGAACTTTTGATATCGTTGATCACAAGATTCTAATCCAATGCCTTAAATATATTGTGTTGGACTCTCAGGTAAAGTTTTAGAGGACCTTGCTCTTCTCGTCGTACGTTACCTCTAGGTGACGTTATTACGAAAAAATTTTCATAGCTATGTCGATGACACAAGGGCGTCAAGGGTGATAAAGTATCATGAGTATCATCAGAACTGCATGAACCAGACAGATTCAGACTAATTACAGAGATCCTAAAAACAACAGAAGCAAGAAGAACAACAACAACAGCAACAACCAGTTTACAGTAACTGCATAAACTGTACATTAAGAAGGAGCTGACTGGATGTCAGTCCTTCATGTCATTTTTCACAGCCTTTTTTAAAAAGTAGCGCTAATGTTTTGCTGCGGCATTTGGCCGTTCCAACTTGCTCACAAACATCAGAAAAACTGAACACTCTCATACAATGGATGTATTTTAGAGCTGATAAGGCAAAAATGTAATCTCACAATTTTTCAAGAAGTTTTTATGATATTCAATATAACACAGTATTTATTTCTACTGAAAGGTGATCAAAATTATGAATCCAATGATTTGTATTCAATATTTTACATAATGTGCTGCACTATATCCTATTAAATTTGATACATTGAGCTCTCTTTGTAATGAAATAATAGTTGGGAAGTAATTTTAAGTACTGACAGTTTAAAGTAACTAACTTTCATCATTACAGTGACAGATAGGAGTCCGACCGATAACTGGAGCCGATGTTCAGCATTTTTCTGATTATTGGAATCAGCATGTGAACTTGCTTCCTTGCTGATAAAAGCGTGTTTGGTTATTTATGCGCATATCTAATGCAGATGCGATTAACAACACACACTTCTGTTGCTCCCACAGCGAGAGGAAAAGGTAAAAACGTCACGGTTGAACAACGCTGTTGGCAAAAAGCTCAGAGCGCTCCATCATATAATATCAATCACTCTAGCCAGACAAATGTGACTCACACACTAGGGGGCATTGAGCACACTTGCCCGGGGCAGTGGGCAGCCCTATCCACGGCGCCCGGGGAGCAGTTGGGGGTTAGGTGCCTTGCTCAGGGGCACTTCCGGTCACAAGGCTGGTTCCCTAACCTCCAGCCCACGACTGCCCCATTAAACGGGTCGCTTCCACTGCATCATACAGCGCAGAAAACATCTGATAAACTCAACACGTTCAATTACTGCTTGTTATTGCGTCAAATTCATTTTTAGTTGAACAACAAAATAAAATAAACACATTAATATTCATATTCCCTCATTGTTGTTACGTTTTACAAAGCAGCGACCATTTTTGCTGCATGACTGCTCGATGGTTACCATGATATTTTTTACTGCAGTACATTTACAGGCCAATGCATGTGGTCAGTGTAGGCTTTATACAGTTTCTAGTCTGTATCTATGTAAGCTCCGCTCCTGATGTGTGCCGCTGCCCATTTAAATCCCTCTTATGTCGGAATGGATTCACTCAACCGCTAGTTCAAATGACTACAGGCATCCAAGAAACCTGCCCAATTAAGAGGTATTAACATTTAAAAACTGTTGTAAAGCTGACAGTACAGAGCCGTGCCAAAGGATAAATGCTCTAACCTTTACTATGTGACACTCCTACCTTAGGCTCCTCTACTAAGGTAGGAACTTCCTGCACTGACACATCTAAAAGCCTCAGCACACACCTGTTAAATACACACACCCCCCAGCCTAAAGGGTTTACTGTAGCATTGTCAGCTGCAAAAAGCAAGGTGTAATAGCACCTTCGGTGTTTGTTCACCACACCTCTGCCTCGATTCCTGGTACGTGTTATCTGCTTTAATCACACATAAAAAAGCTACTCACATCACTCACGAAAAAAAAGCTCGCAAAAACCTGGCAGTTTTCAGAATCCATGAATTTCAACTAACAATCCAAGGCCCTGTTCACACCTGGTATCAAGATCCATTGTCAGTGATTTGATTACAAGTGGACACTCAGTACTGAAGGGGGCGATAGAGTACAAATTTAGAGAGGGATCTACTGTTATTCCAACAGCCTCAACAGCTAAACGCGGACAGTAGGGGAGAGCGAGCTGCTTTACCTCTTCTCTTGGAATCTCATATTTTTATGCCATCTTTGCGTGAGAGTCAACTGCTCGTCTGCTATGGCAGTTGAGAAAGCACGCTGGCGGTACAAGACCGCTTGGTCAGGCTTGGCTGTTGTTTTAGCGTCCCTTGCTGTGAGGCTCAAAATGCAGCTCAGAATGCGTTATGAAACGCATCGCGACACATTTTTCAACGCGACTACGCGAGAAACCCCGGCTGCATAGCTCGAAGCGTCTGCGTTCGCATTTCTGGCCTAATTGTCATTACTGCGAAGTTTCTATAGTTATGTTTCTCATTACTGATATTCATCATTTCATCATTTTTTTTAATTAGAAAAAAAATTGTATTTCTTGCAAATGTTGAATCTCTCTTCTTTAATGTTTTTTCTTGTAAACCATGAGGATGTGAACTAAAACAACAAAATGTTATGTGGTACGAGCAAAAAGAAAAAACTCAATGGCTGTTAATGTGTTGCCGTAATGAGACAAAATTCGAAAACACTATATTTTGCAATATATAAAAAATAGGCTACTCCCAACAACAATATTTAGAATTGAAAAAAGAAAAGCTGCAGGAAAAAAACACCATTTACAGATATATCTTCAAACGTGAATGTCTTGCAGTAATGAGAATTTGGTTACGTAAATTGGAAAACGTTAGCCCGGAAAAAACAGCATGCCCAGTCCAGGTAAGGGGAAAGGACCTGCCCAGGTGGAGGAGTTTAAGCATCTCGGGGTCTTGTTCATGAGTGATGGGAAGAGGGGTTGTGAGATCAGCCGCAAGCTGGGACAGGCGGCAGCAGTGATGCGGTCACAGTACCGGACTGTAGTGGTGAAGAGGGAGCTGAGCCATAAGGCAAAGCTCTCTGTTTACTGGTCGGTCTACATCCTAATCCTCACCTATGGCTTTGGGTAATGATCCAAAGAATGAGATCACAAATACAAGCAGTGGAAATGAGCTTTCTTCGCAGGGTGGTGGGCTACACTCAACTTTATAGGGTGAGGAGCTCGGTCATCTGGGAAGAGCTCAGAGCAGAGCCGCTACTCCTCCGTATTGAGAGGAGCCAGCTGAGGCGGTTCGGGCATCTGATCAGGATGCCCCCAGGACGCCTTTTGGTGGGGGTTTACCAGGCACGGCCTACTGGGACGAGACCCAAAGGTCGTCCTAGGACCTGCTGGAGGGATTAGATATCTCTAAGTTGCCCTGGGAGCACCTTAGGGTCCCCGGGAATGAGCTGGAAGAAGCTGTGGGGACAGGGTCATCTGGGATTCTCTGCTATCCCAACTGCTACTGTGACCCTATCTGGATTAAGCGGGTAATGATAATGAATGAATGAATGAATTAATGAAAATGTTACTAAAAATCCATTTAAGGTTGGGTGTTTCAAGCAATTGGTAACAAAGGCATTGAATTGCATACACAGTTTGTACAAGATGGGTCCCAGTAGGCCTGTTTGTGAGAATAATCCATCCGCATGGGCTGCTAACGCAACTTATTAATAAACAGGAGAGGAAATGAAGAAGGAAGCAATGCAATACTCCCATGATGATGCAGCTGATTAGGTGGTTTTGGTGTTCACACTACAAATGTTATATGGTCGTATGTGTCCATGACCACCGCTGAAGGAGGTCCGAGTGATCAGATCACAGCGCATCTCTGAGGCTGGGCCATGGAGCAGCAGAACTCTGTTCTCTGGAGTGACGGAGCTCCATCCCGTACCTTTGGGATGAGCTGAAGTGATCCAGAACTGATCATCCAACATCAGTACCTGACCTCACCAATGCTCTAGTGGCTGAACGCAATCAAATCCTCACAGCAATGCTCCTCAAGCCTTCCAGAAGAGTAGAGGCTGTTACCGCAGCAAAGGAGGACAAACTCACTTTTAATACCCTTCATTTCAGAAGATAAGCTGGATGAGCAGGTGTCCCCAAACTTTTGGACACCGTGCACGATGGTGAACCTGCAGAGGCTGTGCTGAGCAGTTAAGCCAACAAACTAACTCCTCTAATTTCCCAATGGTTCTTCAAGGGTTCTTTAGTAAGGGGAATGGTTCTGTTTAGAACCATAAGCTCTATGTACAACCACTTCATGCTTAAACGGCTCTTTGCACGGTGAAATGGTTCTTCAGACTGATGGAGAATGTGTTGTACATGGTTCTGTATAGCACTAAAAAGGGTTCTTCTACTGTTACAAGCTTGACAATCACAACAGCAGAACCATTTACTAAAAACCCCTTTAGGAACCATCAATAGGAGTGTAGCTAAGCTACCCAACAAGCTAGCTAAACCTGTTCGATAGCACGAAGCTGAAGCAAGCTTCTTGCTCGAATTGTCCCGGTCCACCTTAAATGGTGCAGCAGTTACTTAAAATCGAGCAAGCAGTTGACTTCAGCTTACATGTAACTGCTGCACCATTTAAGGTGGACCGGGACAATTCGAGCAAGAAGTTGACTTCAGCTTACATGTACCTGCTGCACCATTTAAGGTGGACCGGGAAAATTCGAGCAAGAAGTTGACTTCATCTTACATGTAACTGCTGCACCATTTAAGGTGGACCGGGACAATTCGAGCAAGAAGTTGACTTCAGCTTACATGTAACTGTTGCACCATTTAAGGTGGACCGAGACAATTCGAGCAAGAAGTTGACTGCAGCAGTTGTATGTAAGCTGAAGTCAACTGCTTGCTCGAATTGTCCCGATCCACCTTAAATGGTGCAGCAGTTGCATGTAAGCTGAAGTCAACTGCTGCACCATTTAAGGTGTCATGAGAAGTTGACTTCAGCTTACATGCAACTGCTGCACCATTTAAGGTGGACCATTTAAGGTGGACTGAGACAATTCGAGCAAGAAGCTGACTTCAGCTTACATGTAACTGCTGCACCATTTAAGGTGGACCGGGACAATTCGAGCAAGAAGTTGACTTCAGCTTACATGTAACTGCTGCACCATTTAAGGTGGACCGGGAGCAAGAAGTTGACTATAGCTTACATGTAACTGCTGTACCATTTAAGGTGGACCGGGATAATTCGAGCAAGATGCTGAATAGGGGGACAACTTTAGCCTCAAGTTACTGACTGTCAGGCACAGCGCTGGGTGCTGAAGGAATGACGTTACTCTCTTTATTCAGAATCGCCCGCGTCCGTAAAGCTTCACCGCTCCGAAGAGGGATGAGGTCCAGTAACGGACAGCCACCTAACCTAGGTTAGCTGGCGTTAGCACTGAGCTAGCCGTCAACACGCAGATATAAACTGAAGTCAGCTAGCGTTAGCTTAGCACGCTAGCCGGCCTTAAAGTGAACTCACCTGATGAATGTCAGCTCTGAGAGCGCTTATGAACACGATCCCGCGAGCCGAGCCTTTCGTGTATTTCAAACGCTAAACGGGAGAAAAGGACGGCGGGTTTAATAACAGCGCAGTGCGGAATGTATCTGGTTAGCCTGTTAGCATCAGAGCTTCTGCCGAACACGTATGCACGTCGCGGATGACGTCCCACGCAGCTGTACCAAAGCCCCGCCCGCTTAAGTAAACCACTGCTGTAATATATTGTAGAGGCGCTGGGTGGCGCTAGATAAGAGAGAGAGAGAGAGAGAGAGAGAGAGAGAGAGAGAGAGAGAGAGAGAGAGAGAGAGAGAGAGAGAGAAAAAACAGAAACAGTGAGGCAGAAAAGAGGAAGACAGGGTGATAGAAAAATAAACCTGCAAAGTGTTAAGAAGCAGTGGAGACAAAGGGCATGTAGAGATGGAGGGAGAGAGGGAGAGAGAGAGAGAAAGAGAGAGAGAACAGAGGCAGTGAGGCAGAAAAGAGGGTGATAGAGAGAAAAATAAACTTGTAAAGTGTTAAGAAGCAGTGGAGACAAAGGGTGTGTAGAGATGGAGGGAGAGAGAGAGAGAGAGAGAGAGAGAGAGAGAGAGAAAGAACAGAGGCAGCAAGGCAGAAAAGAGGAAGAGAGGGTGATAGAGAGAAAAATAAACCTGTAAAGTGTTAAGAAGCAGTGGAGACAAAGGGCATGTAGAGATGGAGGGAGAGAGAGAGAGAGAGAGAGAAAACAGACAGTGAGGCAGAAAAGAAGAAGAGAGGGTGATAGAGAGAAAAATAAACCTGCAAAGTGTTAAGAAGCAGTGGAGACAAAGGGCATGTAGAGATGGAGGGAGAGAGGGAGAGAGAGAGAGAGAGAGAGAGAGAGAGAACAGAGGCAGCGAGGCAGAAAAGAGGAAGAGAGGGTGATAGAGAAAAATAAACCTGTAAAGTGTTAAGAAGCAGTGGAGACAAAGGGCATGTAGAGATGGAGGGAGAGAGAGAGAGAGAGAGAGAGAGAGAGAGAGAGAGAGAGAGAGAAAGAAATAGAAAAAACAGAGACAGTGAGGCAGAAAAGAAGAAGCGAGGGTGATAGAGAGAAAAATAAACCTGCAAAGTGTTAAGAAGCAGTGGAGACAAAGGGCATGTAGAGATGGAGGGAGAGAGTGGGAGAGAAGAAGTGTAGTGAAGAAGGGTTCAAAAGAGGGGTGCAGTGAAGTGTGAAGAGCATTAACGAGGGCAGCAGACAGCAGCCTGACCCTCTGAGACACTCAGACACACACCAGACGACTGCACAGAGCCTCAGGGTGGATGTGTGTGTAATACAGATACACATGCAAACTCTAATGCACAACAAGACCTTCCAATTAAAGGGGAATTCCACTGATTTTTCAAAATTTCTGCATAATTCAGTCGTGGAGATGTAAACAAAGTCATTCAGATTGGATTGATGTGAAATCTCTCATTGTAGAGACTCAGATTTCTTTACAGTGGTGGTGATAGGATCAACACCAATACAGCCATTTTATTTACTATGCAATATCAGCTTTGAGTCTTTATATGTAATGATGATGATGAAACACTGGTAAAACTGGAGAAATAAGTTTTATTTGGGGAATATTTTGCCTTACAACATCCTGTATATAGTACTCCACCAAGAATGAATGAAAAAATAAGCTTGTGGTTATTACATCAGACGGCATATTCATAACCATTTCATCTAATAGCTTTCTGTAAGCCAAGACATGTTTGAGATGTTCATGATGCAAAAACCCTGATAGCAAGAGGATAGTGGGCCTCTGTTGGCCCGCTGATGGCAAAGCGGGCAGTCCGCTGGTGTTTTGCTCAGCGTTTTCCAGGCGGTCCACCTGTGGTTATGCAGAGTAATGAACAAAATTCCACTTATCATCACTCATTTTCCACTCACAGCCCAATTTACTTATTTTTCCTTCCTTCCTTTCTTTAGTTATACTTTGTAAATTAGTTTAGTAAATAATTTAAATCTAGCACAGTGTCAGCAACAACATTCTCTATAAAATCATTTTATATCAGGCCTAGTCATTATTTTTTTTCTCTAATATTTGTCTAAGGTTATTTTCTAAAATAAAAAGCTGGGTCCATTTAAAATCTGTTGGAAGAGAATAATAACTAGTTAAAGCTTGTAATGCTCGTAGTGGGGTGCCGACTTTATCAAGCCAGCAGACCGATATATGCTTGCTGTCTGGGTATAGCCATTTTATTTACTATCCAAAATGACCAGTGAAGCTACACATGTCTTTTGAGTATTTACATGCTCTAGTATTCTGTATTAATATGTTCATTATGGTAAAATGATGTAAAATCTAAAAAGATAAGTTTTCTTCTGGGACTATTTTGCCTTAGAACAGCCTGCATGTACCTATCCCCCATGAACGTATTTAAAATATTTTTGAAAGGCCAAAACATTCCCAAAACTGTCTTAAAACAAGGTGTGTAAGAACAATTCTGGGTAACAGCTTTCTGCAATGTAGCTTTTAGAGGTATTAAACACTTCAGACGTCTGGTTCCTATCACCTCCACTGTGAACAAATCCGACTTGACAAAATTCTCAAGAATTGAGAATTTCACATCAAACCACTCTGAATGACTTTGTTTACATCTTCTCTCTGAAAAACCGGTTCCCCTTTAACAGAAAGTGAAACTATACAGTTAACTACCGTTCATTTTTTATATACCATATTAATTTTCCATTGTTATTTTGATTTAGTTTTTAGTGCAGTAGCTAATATGTACTGAGTGCGTCTATCATCATATACTCTATTAGACACAGATGAAACAGAAATGACTGATGACTACATAAAGATTGTGTTCTACATGTTAATACTTACCACTAGATAGTGTATATATTGGCAATGTTGCATGTAAGGCCCACTGAACTGAAGCAGGTCCAAAATGAATGGGAGTGAATGGATTTTATTTCTTACATTCTTGCCCAAAAAAATCTAAAACATACTTTGCACCCAAACCATTCAGAGCTTTTAAAAAATAATAGTGCCTAATATTTCATTCTAAAACTGGTAATTAGCAAATACAAATACAGGATCCTAGAATGTCTGCACACAACGAGGAGCATAAAGAGGGGAAAAACAGCCAAGGCTAGAATTATGTGGGAACCCAACTTACCTCTGTGAAAGCTCCCTTCATCGCTATGGGTGTAAAAATGTATTGGTGCATTGTGAAACACTGAGCGCGTTTACATTATTGTACTCAATAATCCGATAACTGCAGAAAGTCAGATTTGTCAGTAATCCGATCAACACATTTACATGCACATGAGTAATGAAATAATGGGGAAACTCTGGATCTACATGAGTCAGACAGTAATCAGATTTCTGCTTTGCAACCAGCCAATAAACTCAGAGAAGACATGAATTAAATGCAATGTAAAACTCAAACTTCATGCTGCGTTTTTTTTTGTAAACATCGCACCACTTTACCTGAACATATGAACATACATCATCTATGTATGATGGACAACAAGCTGGACTGGAGCTGTTACACTCTCACATGTGTACAAGAGAGGCCAAAGCCGTCTCTACTTCCTGAGGAGGCTGAGGTCTTTTGGAGTGAGCACTAAGCTCCTACGGACATTCTACCAGTCTGTCGTAGCGAGTGCTTTATTCTATGCTATGCTGGGGCAGCAGCATTAACAAAAGTGCTCTGAACAAAATAAACAAACTTATTAGGAAGGCTGGCTCTGTTGTAGGAGTCAAGCTGGACTCTCTGGAGGTCCCTGCATGCTACACTGGATAACAGAGAAGCACATTCAGTGGCCGACTGTTTCAGCTGCGCTGTGTTAAAGAGGCCGTGTGAGATCTTTCTTACCCACTGATATACGGCTCTACAGCGAGTCTCCTTACTGCAGAGATGGTACTGATCTTCTGCTGTCTGAACTGAGCTGAACCACATCACTGTATCACCTCTCCTGTTAATACACACTGTGCAATACATCGTAACCTGCTACTGTAATAACACTTTACACTGTAATACTGCTGCAATTCCTAGTTATGTCTATACTCATTATGCTTTTAGACTACCTCATACCACTTAGTGCCTGCTACAATGTAAATACAACAAATCTGTCTCATATGCTATGTAAATATGCAAATACATACATATACATACGTCATCTAAACCACTTATCCTTATGGGTCGCAGTAATATACAAATAGATATACTTTATTTCTACTCTCTTATACTTTAACTTATGTCTATTTTTATTTCTATTTTTTATTTTCTGCATAGTATGTGTACGTTAATGTGAAATTATATGTCTTGCTGCTGAAACACTGCAATTTCCCTTCGGGATCAATCTATCTATCTATCTAGAAGATGAAGAATATTTAAATCCTTCACTTCGTCAAGCATGTGTTTGGTTTCAGCGTCACTCCAAAAGTGTTTTGCTGCGTCTCACAGCAACACTGCCTGCTTATTTCCGGTACCACGGTTTGTTTTGCGCATGCGCAGACTGAGAAATCCGAAAGAAATCAGAGTAAGAGTTCACATGCACTGAGAAATCTGATTACTGAGCTAAAATCCAGCTCTCTTTATCGGATCGGACTTCTTAATCGGATTTCTAGATCTTACTCCGATTTAAGACATCAGAGTATGCTGTTTACATGATAAAATTGCTTAGTATAAGATCTCATAACATTTTTAACTTCTTTTCTGTTCCCCCTTTACTGCTATAATGAGCTCCACTCTTTAAGGCAGGCTTTGCAGTAGATTTTGGCTGCAGGCTGCTTTCATTCAGCCACAAGAGCATTACATTACTACAGTCACTGATGTCGGGTGATCAGGCCTGGCTCGCATTCCAGTTTATCCCAAAGCTGTTGTTCCCAAAGTTCCTCCACACTGAACCCTGCCAAACATTTCTCCCTCACTTTGTTCTTGTACTAAAGTTGCTTCCAGAGGGAGTTTGGAACTGGGTTGTAAGAGCTGAAACCGTGTATAGCTAATTTCGTATGTACGTTGTGCATCAGCAGGCACATTCTGGCTTGTCTGGCTTACTGCTTCACAGCAGAGCTGTTGCTGCCCCTAGATCAGGGGTCGGCAACCCAAATGTTAAGAAGAGCCATTTTGTCCCTTCAACAAAAATCAAACCACCTTGAGAGCCACAAAATTTTATGCCCATTTTGCCATCTTGGCTGTAAATATGTCTCAGTGCTGATGTACTAGTATAGACAAAAACTATATAAACGAAAATCCAGACTTACTTTGCTCTGCTTTAAGATTTAGCTCAGCTATTGCTGCTTTTCTCGCATCTCCGGCAGGAAACTTTTCCGCAGAAGTAGAATAGTTAATTGTAAAACGTCTCTCAACATTCGACTTTTTGTGAAGCTGAAGTCAGCTTCTCATTCGCCAGCTTCTTGTTCAAAGTTGTGAAGATGAAGTCAGTTTCTTGTTCTAATTTTTCCATTCCACCTTAAATGGCTTCATTTTCACGATTTTTAGTGTTTGACAGTTTCTTGTTGCAGATTAAATGTATCAAGAAACCAGCTGGAGTGATTATAAATGCAAACCAGTCCATTCGTCTCTAAATTATTAATGTTTGTCTTAAACTTTTCTTTGCCATTTCGTTAGCTACAAGCAAGGCAAGACTGTTGTCTACGCTGCTATGGTGACCAGCAGTCTGCACGCAAACCTTCAGGGTTAAAGTGTGAATTAGCAGTTCTACATTAACTCCAGTGTTTAAGACCATTTATTGTTAAACTGCGTTGAACGATCAGCAGAGCTTTATTTTACTGCAAAGGAGGATTATTTTATTTTTACCTACAAATCTAATTCTGCTGTGGAGCCACAACAGGGCAGTAAAAGAGCCGCATGTTGCTGACCCCTGATCTAGACATTGCCACTTTAAAGTACCAGCACTTACAGTTGTCTAGGGCAGCTGTAGCGAGGCAGAAATCCGATGAACGTCATACTGTCTCTTAGTGGGCACATTTAAATCTCTTTTTCTAACGTTCAGTATCAATTTTTTTGTTATGAGAATTTGCAGAAATATGTTTGTTGTCTAGTGCTGTTGCCTCACAGCAAGAAGGGCCTGGGTTCGATTCCCGGCCGGGTGACCAGGGTCGTTTCTGTGTGGAGTTTGCATGTTCTCCCCGTGTCTGTGTGGGTTTCCTCCGGGTTCTCCGGTTTCCTCCCACAGTCCAAAAACATGCAGTCAGGCCAATTGGACATGCTAAATTGCCCCTAGGTGTGAGTGAGTGTGTGATTGTGTATGTCTGTCTGTCTGCCCCGCGATGGATTGGCAACCTGTCCAGGGTGTATCCTGCCTTCCGCCCAATGACAGCTGGGATAGGCTCCAGCACCCCACCGCGACCCAGAAGGATAAGCGGTTTAGATGATGGATGGATGGATGGATGGATGGATGGATGTTTGTTGCCTAGAAGCAACATTGTGCGACAATGGAATGGATTTAGCCAGTCACAAGCCAGGTCTCGCCACTTAAGGGAACACAGCTCTATATAATTTCTTCTTATTGTCGCACGTTGCCTCAAGGTAACATACTTCAAAAGGACCCCTGTACACATCTTTTTATTTATTATTTTTTTAATGTGGTTTTTTAATTTAATAATTGGGTCCAAAAAAAATAAATCAAGAATCATTTTATTCAAGAAAAGTGAATAGAATTTTTAAAAATTGCTTTCATAATGTGTGCAGTAGAGGGTTAAGATAAGAAATAAGACTGAGACCATGAAATACGGCATCTTTAGCTTTATAATCACCGTAGCACACAAATATTCCATTAATTCTTTATTTATATTTATTTGTACAAAGTATATTACAATACAGTACATTAAAAACAAACAACGTTCTGTAAAAAGTAGAGTTTTTTAGAGAATAAGGCACTGATGTTGCAGGTAATTCAGCAAACTGTTTCCATTCAGAAAACAAAAACACACAACAAACAAGTGTTTCACATAAAGGGTATTCCAATATGGCAGATTGAGTTTAGCTTAGTATAAATATGTAACAGTTTTCTGTTAAAATGAGAGCCCTCCCTTTACCAAATGTATAGATATGAATAGATTGGGATTAGAGTAATCTGAGTCTGTATCTTCCTGATCCAAAAGAGGACCGTTTTTAAAGGGATAAATGGATGACAAAGCGTAGAGAGCAATAAACAAAGAAATATAGCAAAGAAAATGACACAAATCACCTCTTGAGGAGATCACAGCTTGGAGGATCTTAGGAGACATGAAACTCTCAGAATAGAAGAGACGGAAGTGCAAAGGGTGCAGCAGTATCACTGTAAACACGTGTTCATCACGTTAAAACCACCTTCTAAGACATCACACACAAACACCCAGCCATCCCTTAAGGCAAAATGCGTGACCACCATTCTTGGCAAAAACAAAACAAACAAACAAACAAAAACGTGTAGAGAAAATTAGAGCGACGGCACTCCAGCCTTTGCTTACTCTTACAGTGAAGCTCCGAACTTCTCGCAATGGAGTGCTGGCATAAGCTCGTCTGGATAGAGATGAAATTATTCAAGAACATATTTAAAAGATGACTACAGAGGTTTTCAAACTAATCTCTGTCTGCCTTAAAGGGGAATTCCACCAATATTTAAAAATTTCGTCCGAACTTATCACAGTAGTGGTGATGGGAACCAGGAAAGCAATTACATGACATGGTTTTGAATACACTGCCTGGTCTGTTTTGTGTTTGTTTTTAATGTAAAACCCATTCAGCATGGAGACATGCAGGGTGTTCTAATGTAAAATAGTCCCCAAGAAAAAAAAAATTGTTGTAAGGCGAAAGAAAGTTCATTTTTTCTGATTTATCACTGTTTTATCATCATAATTACATTTAAAGCTGGACATTAAAGCTCCCTCACAAAGTTATTACATAAATGGTTTGATATACGCTGCCTGATGCCTGAGACGTTGTTTTATGATAGTGTTGTGATAAAGTTTTGGCTTAAGATGTATTTTAATCCCTTTATTTTAATCCATTCATGGCAGAGGGGTACATTCAGGGCGTTGTAAGGCAAAATAGTCCCCAAAGAAAACTATTTTTTTCAGATTTATCACTGTTACCACCATCAACATTACATATAAAAACTCAGAAGACACATGAAGGTTCACTAGTGGTTTTGGATAGTGAATAAAATGGCTATATTTCTGGTTCCTATCACCACCACTGTAAAGAAATCAGAGTCAATATGTTTCTCAACAATGGGACATTTCTAATCAAGCCACTCTGAATGACTTCGTATCTGAACGACTGAACTACGCAGAAATGTAGAAAAATCAGCGGAATTCCCTTTTTTAACACACTTGTACATTTACAAGCGTGTTTTGAGTCAACAAGTTTTCTGTTCTTTTACTAAGTACAGAGAAAATGCATGTAAATGACTGTCTGTGGGAACCAAGCATACGCTACAGATCCGTCAGATAGAGATTAGGTTGAAAACTCTTGGACTATTCCTTAAATTAAAGACACGTAATCTCACCAAAAGACTCTTCCTCGCCCAAAACAGGCTCAGCACACCACCCGCAACTGAACAATGAAGCAATGCCACATCCAAAAGGAACAGGCTTAGTTAAGATGTGCAAAAAGCTGAGAGGCCCGTACCTTTTAGGATGGGTGCAGAACTAAAGATGCATTGTGTAGGAATTAATAAGTAATATGTCTTTCGCTTCTAGAGTCCACTGTAATAAACAAAACAAGATAAAGTCATGTAAAGGCTATCAGGTCAATGAGCCCACAGCTTTTAGAGCAGCATATCATTGCTGTTGGAACAAAATCTCCATTTTTGTCGTTTTTCAGTTTTTGTCATAATTTGAAAATCCCTGTTTCTCTTTACACTGTGTGTAAATTTCATGATGAATGGACCAAAAGAAACGACCCAAAGTGACTTGGAAAAAATTCTGGTTCCATTGACTTACATTAAAAGTAAAGTATGTTTTTTCCTTCTTCTGTAAAGTTACCATTTCGGAGATACAAGGTTTTGTTCCAACAGCAGCGACATTTAAACAGATTTGTTGTGTCTTTTTTGGAAAGCCTTCAGGAACAAAGGTGTAAAAGCCTGTTGGTGACTCATTTAAAAAAGTTTGCAACTAGGGATACTGGGCCAACAAGAATAACGGCTGTTTTCATACAAATCTTATCATTTAATGGCACTTTTTGGCATAAATACGAACAAAATCTTACTAAATAGTTCTACTCTGTACTGTAATATGATCTGATTATTGTATCATACTGACCCCAAATATTTGTTATTTTGTAATATAACTTTTACTATAGTGATTTGAACAAATTATTCACCAAAAATAAGCCTTTTTGCCTTATTTATCCTGTTTTTGTACAAAAGGTACCCAGAAATCGTACACAATGCATCTCTAAAAGGTGAAAAAAATAAAATCCTGAGAAACAATTCATCATATAGTGTATGGTTTTAAAACCAGTAGTGGTGTCCAGGTCGTTTTTTGCAAGTGAGATTCATTGAGAACTTGTCTTGTTCTCTCCCCTTCCTGTAAACTCTGGAAATATAAGCCCTTCTTTGTTGCTTTTTTTTATTATAAATTATTCCCACTGGCTCAACCTGCACACCCTTCCTCTTCAGTCAGCCTGTCCAGTCCATTACGCCTGTAGGTCACTTCCTGTACTCCCTTTCCTTATGGGCTCTGTTTAATTTACAATAGAAAGAAGGGAGGAGAGAAAGTGGTCTAGGGGAAATGGTTAAGAGCCAAACTGGGACTGAACCTGAGCAGATGGCTATGTTTAGACAGTCGAAGTCAAATTAATTTGTCCATCTTTTCTGCTCTGCTTTTAAAACCGAGCCACAGTTTGTGATTGCTTGTTTTAAAGCACATCATTTCTGTCATATCAGCATCTCTATTTTTAAGGGGTTTTTGCACCAAAACCACTTGTAACATTAAAGTTAAGGAGGTCTTAGATGTGACAGTGATGATCTGCACAAGATCCAAATGAGAAATCAGTTCTAAACAGGGAGCAGCTTTGGTGTCTGCTGGATGAGTGGGATGGTGGTGGCGGGTAGGACAAGTTTTGACTCTTCTGATTGTCGAAACATAGTCACGGTGAAGTTGTGTCTCAGATGTTCTCGGCTTGTGGAACCTCGCGGATGCTGTCCCGAAGCTCGGGACGCGCTCGCGGCCTCTGCCGAATGCTGCGGCCGGACGCAATGAGGTCGGCGTAACCGCGGGAGTGAGAGAAAGCGTACGCAGAGCGGCGCGAACGACCGCCACGCTGGAATGCCGGAGGCTTCTTCTTCACCTCCTCCTCCAACTCATACTTCTTCTTGTTTCTCTGGACCTACAGAGAGAGAGAGAGAGAGAGAGAGAGAGAGAGAGAGAGAGAGAGAGAGAGAGAGAGAGAGAGAGGGAGGAATAAAAATAATGGAAGAAAGATGATGAGAAAGAAGAGAAAGAAGGATGATAAAGAGAGAGAGATAAAAGAAGGAAAGAGAAAGAGATGCAAGAGAAAGAAATAGGAAAATAAGAGAAAGAAAGAGATGGAGAGAAACAAAGAAAGAAAGAAAGAAAGACAGAAGATGAGAGAGACAGAGAAGTAGATGAGAAAGGGGGGAAAAGTAAAGAAAAAATGAAACAAGAGAGAGAGCACAGAAAGAAAGAAAGAAGAAAAAAGAAAAAGAAAGATGAGAGAATGAAAATGAAAGAAGGAAAGAGAAGTGAGAGAAAGAAATATGAAAATTAGAGAGAAATAAAGAGACGGGAAGAGAGAGAAAGAATGAAAGAAAAAAGAAAGAAAGAAGTGAAAGAAGATGAGAGACGTAGATGAGAGAAAGGGGGGATAAAAATAAAGAAATTAAAAAGTGACAAAAGAAAGAGAGAGAACAGGAAGAAAGAAAAGAAAGATGGAGAAAGAAAGAGTGAGCAAAGGGAGATGAAAGAAAGAAAGAAAGTGGGATAGAGAAATGGAGAGGGAGATGGAAGAAGAGAAAGAGGGGAGGAGAGAAAGGGGGGGAGAAAGAGCAGTGAGAGAGCAAAAAGAAAGAAAGAAGAGAAAGAATTGGGATAGAGCAGGAGAGAGTGCAAAAGGAAGAGAGCAGAGGGAGATAAAGAAAGAAAGAAAGAAAAGATGAGAGAAAAACGGAGATAAACAGAAAGAGAAAAAAATAAATAGATGAGAGAAAGGGGGAATAAAAAGAAAATTAAAAAAGAGACAAGAGAGAGAGAGGGAGAGAGAGAGAAAAAAAAGAGAATGAAAAATTGGAGAGAAACAAAGAAATAATCATAATGCCATAATGTCTTTTAATAATGGTTATAAGACCTTCACTAATGTTACAAATGAAATAAGCATCACTAACATGGACCACAACCTAAACTCCATACAGACACTAATTTCTAGCACCGTACAGAGGAAACAACAGTCATCACGCTCTCAACTGTGGACACTTTAAAAACAAGAGGACGAGATAAACAGAAAAACAGCCTCAGTTCTCACTGGAATCTCCTCAGCTCCACTACAGCTGAACTGAAGTGGAGTGAAGCACCTCCTCTTTTAACAGACTCTTCTAAGCAGGCCTTACCTTGTCTCCTACAGAGGGCCAGATGGTCTTACAGAGGAACTGGATGCAGATGACTGGCAGGAGGCTGATGCCCACTGTAAGAATGATGGTGAGCCACAGGTAGGGCTGCCTCAGAGCGTTTGAAGCCACACCTGGAGGACAACAGCACAATGCAGTGGTCATCATGAGAATGGTATAAATACAGCAATATGAAAAAAAAACCTTTAGAGACTCGAAGGCCACTCACTGGACACCTTATAAGAAACATCTACCCTGAGCTTCCACTAACCGGCCACTTTATTAGAAACACCTACCTTGTACTTTCACTAACTGGCCACTTTATTAGAAACACCTACCTTGTTCTTCCACTCACTGGCCACTTTATTAGAAACACCTGCCATGTGCTTCTGCTAACTGGCCACTTTATTAGAAACATCTACCTTGAGCTTCCACTAACTGGCCACTTTATTAGAAACACCCACCTTGTACTTCTGCTAACTGGCCACTTTATTAGAAACACCTACCTTGTGCTGCCGCTAACTCGCCACTTTATTAGAAACATCTACCTTGAGCTTCCACTAACTGGCCACTTTATTAGAAACACCCACCTTGTTCTTCCACTCACTGGCCACTTTATTAGAAACACCTACCTTGTACTTCCACTCACTGGCCACTTTATTAGAAACAGCTACCTTGTGTTTCCACTAACTGGCCACTTTATTAGAAACACCTACCTTAAGCTTCCACTAACTGGCTACTTTATTAGAAACACCTACCTTGTTCTTCCACTCACTGGCCACTTTATTAGAAACAGCTACCTTGTGTTTCCACTAACTGGCCACTTTATTAGAAACACCTACCTTAAGCTTCCACTAACTGGCCACTTTATTAGAAACACCTACCTTGTTCTTCCACTCACTGGCCACTTTATTAGAAACAGCTACCTTGTGCTTCCACTAACTGGCCACTTTATTAGAAACAGCTACGCTGTGCTTCCACTAACTGGCCACTTTATTAGAAACACCTACCTTGTTCTTCCACTCACTGGCCACTTTATTAGAAACAGCTACCTTGTGCTTCCACTCACTGGCCACTTTATTAGAAACACCTACCTTGTTCTTCCACTCACTGGCCACTTTATTAGAAACACCTACCTTGTTCTTCCACTAACTGGCCACTTTATTAGAAACATCTACCTTGAGCTTCCACTACTGGCCACTTTATTAGAAACAGCTACCTTCATTTTTTGTATTTGCAAAATATTTGAGTCATCCTGATAACTCATATTTTGCTTATGGGTTTTATTATTTTATTTGAAACCTTTTGCACAAAATGAACTCCACAGAGGACAGACTCATCATACCAGTGAACGTGAAGGCGGATGGGAAGAGGACGTGTATTCCTGCGCTCTGTATGTCGAACATTACGCCAAAATAAATGGCTATACTGCCTAACACAGCGAAGCAGTTCACAAATGTCCAGTAGGAGGTGTCCAAAGAGATCTGCACAGGGACAGGAAATGAAACCATGTTAGGACAGAAATATCGAGCACTGTGATTCATTCCGAATGCAGTTCACATCACAGTGGAAGTGCTTATTATTGATTAGTTTCATCAGTAACAATAAAAGTCACTGAAGTGTGAAGCACATTCCTATTCACATGACTGCTTGATCAAAATAGTTTGTGATACAAATAAAACAAAAATCTACAAAATGTTCAGCTTGGTTAGATCATGCTCTTTACAAACAGCAGCAGCACTGAGAAATCACACTCTGAGGAAGAGGGGGTACCTGAAGGTTGACTATCATGATGAGCGAGGATGCGGTTACCACGGCGAAGGACTGGTAGTCAGACGGAGCCTCTCCGTCCTGACCCATCGTCTGCAGGAAGGCTCCGTACGGGATGAAGAAGATGATGAGGGACGTGAAGATGCCATGGAACAGACTAATGAAGAAGTTTTTGTAATTAAACAGCGACCCCTTCTGGCCCGGAAGGTACAGCTTTGGAAACCGCAAACTCAGTTTGTCGTTCACGTCCTATACGAGAGACGAGAGGGAACAGAAGTTGGAACGGAGATTCTCCATCTTGGGTCAAACACACTGTACGATTACGGATGACTGCAAATCAGTGGAGCAGCAAAGAGCAAAACCTCACCTGGTCCAGCAGCCCGACGAGCAGCACAGGCAAACTGCTGTACAGCACGTTGTAAAGAGTGATGAACCAGTCTTCATATGCAACCTACCAAAACAAAAATCATGAGGCATTTTCAGTGACTTTGTAGCTTTGGCTTAAATTTAAAATAAGAAGAAAATTCAGTTGGAAACAAAAAATAAGATCCTTTAATAAAAATGAATGTTTACGTCTGATTTTAATAATAAATATCCAGCCATATATTTTTAAAAACATAATTTTCATTTTATAGTAAAGCATCATCTTTGAGTCAGAGCAAACGCTGCATTCAAATTAGTCAAATATAGGGAACAGTGAATAGGGGGCCATTTCTGTTCCTATAATAGTGTTCTATGTAGTGCTTCAATTAAGGGAACAGTGATTAGGGGGGCATTTCTGTTCCTATAAGTGTTATATATAGTGCTCCAATTAAAGAAATAGTGATCAGGGGGGCATTTCTGTTCCCTATAGTACTGTTTAATATAGCACTCCAATGTAGGGAATAGTGATTAGGGGGCCATTTCTGTTCTCTATAGTACTGTTTAATATAGCATTCCAATTAAGGGAACAGTGATTAGGGGGCCATTTCTGCTCCTTATAATAGTTTTTTATATAGCACTCCAATGTAGGGAACAGTGATTAGGGGGCCACTTCTGTTCGCTTATAGTAGAGTTATATATAAAGCTACAATAGAGAATAGCGACTCGAAGGCCATTTCTGTTCCCTATACTAGCGTTCTAATTAAGGGAACAGTGATTAGGGCACCATTTCTGTTCCCTATAATAGTGTTCAACATAGCACTCCATTGTAGGGAATAGTGATTAGGGGGCCACTTCTGTTCCCTATAATACTATTCTATATAGTGCTCCAATTAAGGGAACAGTGATTAGGGGGCCATTTCTGTTCCCTATAATAGTGTTTAATATAGCACCACAAATTGGTCAAATGCAAAAGACACATATATTGCAGGGCACTGAGTTATAAACTCAGATTGAGAAAAAGAACCCCGGCTCCAGATTGCGAGAAAGAACCCCGGCTCCAGATTGCGAGAAAGAACCCCGGTTCCAGATTTCTCCCTCACCTGTGCCGAGTATCCGTTGAAGAAGGAGTACCAGAAGTGAACGAGGGTGAAGGCGAAGTTCTTGTAGAAAAAGAAGCGCAGGAACTTGCACATGCGGATGTAGGACCAGCGGCCGTGCACCAGCAGGAGGCGCTGCAGGTAGCGGAACTGAGCGAAGGCGTAGTCGCTAGACATCACCGCCTGCATGCCCTCCTGGCCACTAATGCCCACGCCGATGTCCGCAGCTTTAGAGCATCAAATGAGACAGAAAGCCAGAGTCAGAAACTGCAATTGAGGACTGTTACATTGATGTATCAGAGCTTTAATGGCCCAATAATAAGACTAAGCCCAAATCTACGGCCCCAAGATACCCACTGTGAGCTGCTGACCACTTGCAGCACCACTATAGCTCTGCATACTATCTGTCTAACCATCAGTGCCAGGCTAGATCAGGACTGGAATTTAAGCAATAGCCAATTGTCCAAAGTTTGCTTCTTTAATTCTGCACTAGAGATAATGTAACTAACACATACGTTAACAGATAATGGAAGCTTAAACCCCACCATTTGGCATTGAGCAGAATTGTATGTCTAAATCATCATACATTTGCCTCAAAAACATGTGGAGCTGTTAAGTAATCTCACACAGACTTGCTTAAGTGGCTACTGAAACTGTAGGACACACTTTTAACTATAAACATGGACAAAAGTAGAGATAAAATCTAGGCTTCAAAACAGCTGCTACTACTTTTTGGCATTATTTGACTTACTTTTATCGATAACAGTACGTCATACAGTGTAAGATACTTCTGAAGCCAACATCAGACACCAAATGTGTCTTAACTGATCGACTTCTTTAGGGGAAAGGTGAAAATTGTATGCCTCATATTTGTTTATCCAACTTTCACTTTAAGGCCTGCACGCCTGGTATTTTAGGGCCCCTAACAGCCCTGCATAAAGTCGATTTGTTCCGGGCGCTGCGGGCTTGTGGATCCCAGTTACAGAACATAAATTACCAAACACCAAACTATATCAGTTTGAAAATCCTTCACATTACAAAACCATCTCAGTTCACTTCATCTCTTTAACTTATTAAATATCAAAACCATGTAATCAACTGAGCTATCAGGAAAAAAGCCACAGTGGAAGCATCATGTGTTTACTCACTCTTGATCATGTTGACATCATTGGCTCCGTCTCCGATGGACAGAGTGACGGCGTTCTTGTATCGTTTGACCAGGCTGACCACGTTGGCTTTCTGTTTGGGGGTCACACGGCAGCAGATGACCGCGCTGCACTCGCAGGCCATGTCCACAAAGTCCCTCTGCCTGAGCTCCTTCTCCCAGTCGTCCGCAGGCTGGCCGTCCTGCGGGTTAGTGGGACGCGGGCGCTTCCCCAGACGCCGCAGACGCAGACGACGACGCTTCTTCTTCTTCTCACACAGAATCTCGTTCTGTAGAAATAGATTACTGTGACCATAATGGAACAGAACTTGCATATACAGCACTGTGCAAAAGTCCAAGGCATGTGAGAAAATGAGAGTTTGACCAACCGACCCTTATTTAATTTAAATCATGAAATTAAATTTGCTCATGGAATTGAACACATTCATGCAACGCAATGGCTGGAGTGCTTTGAGAAGCCAGTCTATCTAACTGTATTCTTCAATTTGTCTAAATTCTTGTTACTTTTTTCTGCATTTAGGTTTACTTTTGGTGTTTTTAGTGACCAAAACAGTAAAAAAAACAGAGATAAACTGTTTCAAACAATTATGTAGGCTGCCCTAGACTTTTGCACAGTACTGTAACTCTCTTCATAATCTTTAAACAATTACACACTGAGGTCTTTACACTTTTTGTACATGTAAATTTCATCGCTACTTTAACAAGAGAAGCAAAAAACAATATTCTTAAACTGTAATAACAATAAACAACAACAACAACAACAACAACAACAACAACAATAATAAAAGTAGTTGGGTGGCAGGTAGTAGTGGGATGACAGGCGATTATAATAATTAATAATGTTTAATCGCATTCTTTTGTGCAGTTAATCATGATGAATCGAATGTGTATTATTTGCCCCAATATTTGGAGCAAAAAAACAACTGAAGATGTTTTCCTTTTATATAGATATTTTCCTTTTAAATGCAGCGCATTTTGCCGTGAGAGGACAAATTAAGCATAATAAGAACAGACTCATTACTTTCAATAATTCAATAACATTATTTTCAGCATGTGAATGCAAACACCTATGGAGCTTGTGTTACTAATGTTATGCTAAAAATGGAAATGGAGTTTTGTACTGACAGAGACGGTATGTGTAGAGTGCTGAATTGGGGCTATTTATTAAGTGTAAACAATGGCAGAGTTACTGCTACTGTAACTCACAGATGTCCACTCAGGAGTCGGTACAGTACATACTGTTAACACATTAATTAACACATCATCTACAGAGAACACACTTCTGTGCATTTTATCGCATAATTACTGGTTATTTGCTGAATTTAACACATTGGAAAAAAGTATAAAATGTGGCACATTTTATATTTAGCCCCTTGTGGGGTGTTCAGGTCTGTGGGACCCATTTTTAATGTTTACCAAAAGAAAAAATGATGTGATTTATTATTATTTCATCCTCAGATTTTTGGTCTTTGCTCATTTTCTGTGAATAACATATAAAATAACCCATTTTCAGTGTCTTCACTCTGTTGACCCCCCCACACATTTATATTGCACATGTGGTGTTGGGTGAACCCGCGGGGAGTAAAAGTGTGGAGGTGCTGTGTCCTTCACTCTGTTCTCCTCCTACGTGGCCTGCTGTTAGTGTGTGTGTGTGAGGGTGGTCAACATGGACAGGCTGCTGACTGGCTACAGCTGCTAAAGGAGAACCCTGCGCAGGCCACTTGTGATATTTTAAACATCTGGTATTTTTTACCTAAATTGTTATGGCTGTATTGACTTTAAAAACAATAATGTGGTGGGTCACCAGACCACTGAGTAACAAATACATCAACACCACACAAGGATTAATGTTTTCGCCCCCCCGATATGTTAAACTCAGCAAACTAAAATTTGCAGAAAAAATGCCATATTTGAGTCTGTTCCCTGTAGAGGATGTGTCACCTCACTTTCACTTAGAAGATCAACAAAACATGTTATATGACCGTTGGTGTTCAAACTTTTGCATACGACTGTACAACATCACAAAACATTTTCATAAAAACAATGATGCTCCAAAACTGGAGAAACAGGGATTAAAATTCCTCCTCCAGGTATTTGGCTGGAAGTGAACGTACCAGCCAGCCTCCAGTGATGATGAGAGCATTTTTGCCCTCTCCAGCGAAAAAGGGCTCCTTCACTTTCTTATTGCGGCCTCCATCAGGCTCATTCCGCCTCCTCATCAATCGGACTGAAAGCTTCTCACTGCACAGAGAAACACACAGACATGGTGTTTGCAGTGAGGTGCAGTTTGTAGGTTTATTATTGGCTGCTGCTGCACAATGTCTCAGCTGATCCTTCACCCCATCACTGACCAGATATCACTTGAGTGGTGGACCATTCTCAGCAAAGTAGTGACACTCACATGGTTATGCAGCAACAGGTGAGCTACAGTCAGCGTATGTGCAAAGTAGGTGTACCCAAAACATTAGAGGTGCAGTGTACAGGTCAATGGTCAATAGAGCACCCCTGGCTCTAACACACCCAATACAACTAATGAGTTCATTAAGAAGCCATTCTTGAGTTGAATTGAGTGCATTAGAGCAGGACAGACACAGTAGGGCTACTCCAAAACCACTGACCAGTACCACGGATATAATGCTTCAGTAAGCACATCTGAAGAGCTCCTTACTTTACATCCTCTCCGTAGTGGATCTGCATATCATCTGTCAGCAGCTCACAAGAGTAGCCAATGTTCTCAGCAGTTTCTGTTAAATCAATGGATAAAACATTTTAGTGGCACTGTTTATAAACAAACATGAATTATTCACAATTCAAAACCATAACAGTACTCTACATATTATTATATAATATTAAATAAGATACTATAAAGCCAAAACACATGATAAGCTCTACGGTGCCTAAGCATATTTTATTTTTCCAATATTTTATATATAGCACAGTTACCAACTATATTAGAAAATTATATATATATACACACCGATCAGGCATGACATTATGACCACCTCCTTGTTTCTACACTCATTGTCCATTTTCTCAGCTCCACTTACTATATAGGTGCACTTTGTAGTTCTACAGTTACAGACTGTAGTCCATCTGTTTCTCTGCATACTTTGTTAGCCCCCTTTTACCCTGTTCTTCAGTGGTCAGGACCCCCATGGACCCTCACAGAGCAGGTACTATTTGGGTGGTGGATCATTCTCAGCACTGCAGTAACACTGACGTGGTGGTGTGTGTTGTGCTGATACGAGTGGATCAGACACAGTGTGTGGAGTCTTAAACACCTCGTAGTCCACCCACCAAAAATATCCAGCCAACAGTGTCCTGTGACCACTGATGAAGGTCTAGAGGATGACCAACAAAAACTATGCTGACACACATGAGCTGCTGTCTCTACAAGGTAATAGAGTGGACAGTAAGTGGACACAGTGTTTAAAAACTCCAGTTGCAATGCTGTGTCTGATCCACTCATACCAGCACAACACACACTAACACACCACCACCGCATCAGTGTTACTGCAGTGCTGAGAATGATCCACCACCCAAATACTACCTGCTCTGTGAGGGTCCATGGGGGTCCTGACCACTGAAGAACAGGGTAAAAGGGGGCTAACAAAGTATCAGAGAAACAGATGGACTACAGTCTGTAACTGTAGAACTACAAAGTGCACCTATATAGTAAGTGGAGCTGATAAAATGGACAATGAGCGTAGAAACAAGGAGGTGGTCATGTTATCGGTGTGTATACACAGATATACATACATCAGTTATTCACACTAACCTTTCTTGTCTCCGGTCAGAACCCATATCTTGATGTCAGCCTTGGCCAGTTTGGCAATGGTCTCTGGAACTCCATCTTGAAGCTTGTCTTCAATGGCCGTTGCTCCAATCAGCTACACAGTGAAGAAACAGAGGCTGAATGAATTCTCTGAGTGATGTCTGATATCAGTAAAGGGTTCGTGTTCTGCACCTACTATCATCTACTATCATGATTAAGTGATTTAAATGATTCAGACCGACTTCAGGCTTTACAGAGAGACTTGCAGCAGCACTCGTACTGACCCAGTAAAGCCACTTTTTCAATTTTATAAAAAAGTTTTAAGAATTAAAACCCATTTAAGGCATATAATAAGTACTATTTTTAAGATTTTAAATGCGGATTGAATGAATGAAAAAAAAAATAGTTATAATAAACAATCTACATCTAAAAGGCTACGACTAAATTTACAGCAAGTGATTAAAATACAATATTTACAAACTCAAAGGAATTCTGAATCAAACCCATTTACCATCAGGTTAGTCTCGATGAGCTCGTAGACTCTGTCCAGCGCCTGCTCGCGGTTGCTCATGGCCACGCTGGCTTCCTTGTGTTTCTGAGCCCACGAGTCATACTCAGCGGCACTGATGTCTTTATAACACAAGCACAGCGTCCGCAGGGTCTCATTGGCAAAGCCCTGCAGTAGAAGGAGAGCAAAGAATCAAGAAAAGAAACCATGTGATGCCCACAGAAGCCTTTACATAGCTTGATGCCTCGACATGACTGAAATTAGAGGCACTTACATCCAGAGCCTGCTGGGTGGTTTCCTTGTGTTTGGAGTTGGGACTGAGTCGCTGGTAGATCACTGTGTCGGCTCCCTTACAATACAGTCGGATACTGCCATTAGGGAACCTCACTGCACGCACAGAGAACAGAGTTCATCAACAGGCTGCACATTTAAAAGACTCATGTTCTACATTTTTTTAATATGCACCAAAAACAATTATTTCATCCACTCTTTATCCCTCAGATTTAAACGGGTCACCTGACCATCACACCTATGTGGACATCCCTTTCGGAAATCATGGACATTAATAAAGAATTGCCTCCTATTTGCAGCTATAACAGCCTCCACTTTTCTGGGAAGGCTCTCCACAAGATTCCGGGGTGTGTCTGGGGGAATTTGTGCCCATTCAGTCAAATGAGCATTTGTGAGGATGTTTGACAAGAAGGGCTGGGTCATGTGCAACATTCCAGTTCATCCCAAAGGTGCCCTGTGGGGTTGAGGTCAGGGCTCTGTGCAGGCCACTGGAGCTCCTCCCCCCCAACTCATCAAAACATGTCTTTACGGAGCTCGCTTTGTGCGCAGGCACAAAGTTGGAAGCATATACGTGTCTGTAAATGTCTCTGTATGCTGCAACATTAACATCACCTTCCACTGTAACTAAGGGGCCTAAACTCTGTAAATCAGCCCCAGATTATTCTTAAGATGTAACTTTAATCCTCAGGAACAAGAAAAAAAAGTCGCTCCTGTTGGATGTGTGGATTCTTTGGAAGGTTTTGATGACAGAGTTGCTTTCTGACAGCCAGGAACAGCACAACATTTAATCATTGTCCCCATATCTTTCACTCCAATAACGTAGTAAATGCTTTAATAATGTATATGTGCTGCTAACTAATAACTCTGATCTATACCGTCTGCTATAACAACACTCTTTAACATTTCATATGTAGCTGTTCTTGGTTGTTCTTGGTTGTTTTTGCAGCTTAGTATCAATGTGTGGACATGACAAATCTTTCTGCAGTTGATTAAAGATGAAACAGAGATTATTGTATTCAGCAATAGCAATGAGAGGCGCAGACTAGCTGCCTATATGGATTTAAGAGCCCTAAAATCTAAAGAACTAGTACATAACCTTGGTGTACTAATGGACTCTGATCTTAGTTTTAGCAGTCGTGTCAAAGCAGTTACTAAATCAGCTTTTTATCACCTTAAAAACATCAACAAGATCAGAGATTGTCTGACTAAAGCAGAGCTGGAGAAACTCATCCACGCCTTTATTTCTAGCAGGATTGATCACTGTAATGGTCTCCTAACTGGACTCCCAAAAAAAGACAATCAAACAGCTTCAGATAATTCAGAATGCAGCTGCCAGAGTCTCACTATGAGTAAAAGAAGGAACACATCACCCCCAGTTCTTAAATCCCTGCACTGGATACCAGTCTGTCAGCAAGTCAGTCCTGCTGAGGGTGAAGACTGAACATAGAGAAGCAGCATTTCGCTACTGTGCTGCCCTTAAATGGAACCAGTTGACAGAGAGCATTAGAAAAGCTCCAACACTGGAGACATTAAATCCAGCTCAAAACCTGTTTGTGCAGCTTTCAGTGCAGTTTAAACACTGTTAGTGACTCTAGCCCCTTTTCCTCTGTAACGGCACTTTATTATCCTAATCTAACTTTTAATTTGATTTTTCAACTATCCTAATTTAATTTCTAAATTTATTTTTAATTTAGTGATTTTCTCTATTAAATCTATTGTTTTAATCATGTTTTCATCATGTTCTTAATTTATATACTCGTTTACTTTTTTTAAACAACTCTATGTTCTGACTCTGTATTTTCTCAGTTGTAAAGCACTTTGAATGACAGCAGTGTATGAAAGGTGCTATATAAATAAACTTGGCTTGCCTTGGACTGTATAGACTAGGAGAATTGTAAAGTTTTTACAATACATATTTAACTAACTCATTTAAAAAAAAACAATTGTTCAGCAGGGGGACAAGCAAAGAAGCAAGCGAGGCAGAGGCTGATCTGACTGATGACAAGGCAAGGAAGCAAGCAAGAGAGACAATAAGGGATCGAGAGGGACCAAAACCATTTTGTCAGAGCACTCACGGATGATGGACATGCGTTTTCGGTCGCTGTTGAAGTCGAGCAGAGCCAGCATTTCGTACGTGTTCTCTGTGCCCATTTCACTGATAGTGACGGAGTCCTGCGTGCGAGACAGGAACACAAAGCCAAAGCATCGTGCTGCGGTGACCAGAGCGCCCTCATCTGGAGACGCGGCCTGGTACACCAGCTCACCATCTGAAAGGCACAGCGGAAAAAGACCATACTGATCATAAAAACATCATGACCATAAACAACAGTGTAAATAGATTAAAGCAGACTTCCAACGATTTTTCAAAAATGTCTGAGTAATTCAACCGTTGAGATGTAAACAGAGGCATTCAGTGTGGTGTGATGTGAAACGGTTCATTGTAGAGAAACTTACTGACTCAGATTTCTTTACAGTGGTGGTGATAGGAACCAGGGGTTGTGATGTTTACAACACAATTATAGACATTTATTTACTATACAAAACCACCAGTAAACCTACACGTGTTTTCAGAGTTTTATTTGTAATGTTGATGATGATAATAGTCATAAATCTGAAAAAATAAAAATAAAAAGTTTTCTTTGGGGACTATTTTGCCTTACAACACCCCGAATGTAGCCCTCCGTCATGAATGGATTAAAATAAAGGGATTAAAATACATCTTAAGCCATCAGGCAGTGTATATCGAACCATTTATGTAATTACTTTCTGGGAGGGAGTTTTCATGTTCAGCTTTAAATGTGGTGATGATAGAACAGAGATAAATCTGAAAAAACGAATTTTCTTTCACCTTTCAGCTCTAAGCATGAATCCTTCCACCATGAATGGATTCTGAAAATACACTTTAGGCCAAAACCATTGTCAAGGCATCAGGCAGCGTATTTATAACTGTTTCATACCATGTAATAACCTTCTGTGAGGGAGCTTTTAAAGGCATTAAACTCTTCAGACGTCTGGTTCCTATCATCACCACTGTAACAATTCCGAGTTTCTCTAAAATGGAGTATTTCACACTTTGAAAACCGTTGTCATTTAATTATTCAGAAATTTTGAAAAAATCAATGGAATTCCCCTTAATGTACATCAGTTGATCATATTCAGCTTTGCTTTACTGGTAGAAGATATTATAATATTAATCTAAATGCATTTAAACAGATTTCCTCGCGCAACCCTCAATTCAAGTGGGTGTTTGTGCCCTAATGATGAGGAAATGGAAGATCCGTGTGAATTATTCTCATCACCCCAGGCTTTGTCTCCTGCACACCCCTGACCACAGACCTTCTGAAGATGTGATTATATTAACACTAGGCCTTCTCACCTTTCTGCTCCACCATTACAGTGTGGCAGAGAGAGAGCAGCTTGAAGAACTCCAGCATCTCGGCGTCCTTCTTCGAGCGGATGCATGAAATGAGGTGACCGTCATAGAACTGGAAGTTCCGGTCGGTGTATTTATTCCAGCTGAAGTCTGCAAGCTGAATAGTGAAGGACAGGAAAGATTAAAACAAACAGTACATTTTTTTTCTGGCAGTTACAATCAAAGCATAAATGGTTACTTAAAACAGGCACGCTGTCTTTGTAAACACATTTGAACTGAGAGTAGAAAGTAGAAGCTCAGAAGCTCAGTACCTTCCCGCGCTCCCCACCATCTGTACCTGCAGAATTCCCTACAGATCAGACAGAAACAGCACTGTTATTGCCTCACGGCAGCTACTATAATACACAATACACAGTCAGCAAATTAAGATAGAAATAATAAGAATAACGCTACCTGCTACAGTTCACCTTTTATATAAAAATAGTCTAGACATATCCATTATTTTATAACTGATACACACATCATGCTAAACAGTGTGATTTTGGTTATATATCCCCAACTGAGCAAGATTATATTACGTTAAGACACCTGGTACGTCTGACAATATTACTCAGGCAGTGGTGACTTGGATGCTGAGACATTTTATTCCTCAATACTGCAGAACACATTAAATATTGTTTGTGAGTCTAAAAAAAACATAATTAATATATAAATAATTATACAACACACCGATCAGGCATAACATTATGACCGCCTCCTTGTTTCTATGCTCATTGTTCAAAACTGCTGGAGTTTTTAAACACCTCAGTGTCACTGCTGGACTGAGAATAGTCCACCAACCCAAAAATATCCAGCCAACAGCGTCCTGTGGGCAGCGTCCTGTGACCACTGATGAAGGACTAGAGGATGACCAACACAAACTGTGCAGCAGCAGATGAGCTATCGTCTCTGACTTTACATCTACAAGGTGGACTGACAAGGTAGGAGTGTCTAATAGAGTGGACAGTGAGTGGACACAGTGTTTAAAAACTCCAGCTGCAATGCTGTGTCTGATCCACTCAGACCAGCACAACACACACTAACACACCACCACCGCATCAGTGTTACTGCAGTGCTGAGAATGATCCACCACCCAAATAGTACCTGCTCTGTGAGGGTCCATGGGGGTCCTGACCACTGAAGAACAGGGTAAAAGGGGGCTAACAAAGTATGCAGAGAAACAGATGGACTACAGTCTGTAACTGTAGAACTACAAAGTGCACCTATATAGTAAGTGGAGCTGATAAAATGGACAATGAGTGTAGAAACAAGGAGGTGGTCAGAATGTTATGCCTGATTGGTGTATATCTTCAATATACTGAGTGCCATGGGGGATTAAGAATAATAAAAAGTACTAAAATAATAATAGCCTATGCGCTAGACTTGTACAGTCGTTTGCAAATGTTTGAACATCCCCAGAGAAAAAATAAAACCAGAAAAAATGAATTAAAACAACTCAAAAATCAACTGAAACAGTAATAAGCATGCACCTCTATCTATATACACCTCTAACCAATCACTGAATGTTTTTTATTGTGTACTGTGAGGCATTTTGATCAATTGCAGATGTTCTGTAAGTGTTTGGATGAATCAAGGCATCCATTTGATTCAAACGTGTGAAAACATTATTTTGCTCCGAATGCTGGTGCACAGTGACGTAATGATAAAACACAGAAGACGTTTTAAAGGGGGGGGTGACGGAAGATTACAGGGAATGAAGAAGGTCATATTGATTTTAACTCGACTACAACCACGTCACACCAAGAGCTCGGTGTTTTTTAATATGCTGCAAGGCGAATCATAATTGGGGCTGAGCAATATGGTGATATTTATCGTTATGGTGATCAAATATGTCACAGTATGATTTTCTGAGCATAAAGTGGATAGAATCAGTACTTAATGAACAGAAACCTGTAAATCAATCCTGTTTATTTGGATTTAGTGCAGTGGAGAATTTGAAACAATGAATAAAATTCTTGTATTCATAGTTTTGGATAGCAGTTCTTTGGCCGTCCAAATAGATATCAGAAAGATATGGTGATAAAAGAATCATGCTGTAACAATGTAACTCAAACATCGTATTTTGCTTCTTGAGAATGTTCCTGACTGAGACACACACACACACACACACACACACACACACAGTGTTTTGAACAGAGTCACCAGCGTGAAACAGTGTCAGATATCCATCTCCCTAAAGGCACTGGATCAAACAGCCAACAGCCAGTCACCCGAGCCCACAGCGACAAGCTCAAACTACAGTCAGGCTTTAACGCTGTTTGTAAAGGTTGCCGACCGATCATCTACATTCCACACGTTCAATCAGGCTGAGGACAAAGCTGAATGTAACTAAGGGTGGTCAGTATAACACCATGATACTTGTTGACACAATATGTATCGCAATATTTAACTCGGCATCATACAAGTCAAGTCAAAGTTTATTTATATAGCGCTTTTTACAACCAGTGTTGTCACAAAGCGGCTTTACAGAAAAATCCGGGTCCGAGCCCCTATGAGCGTCGCCAACGGCGACAGTGGCAAGAAAAACTCCCTAAGAGCAGGAGGAAGAAACCTAGAGAGGAACCAGGACTCAAAAAGGGGAACCCATCCTCCTCTGGGTAACACAAGAGCAACATGAACAGAAAATAAAGTTTTACCATCGGTATTAAATATTAAAATACAGAAAAGGGGGAAAAGCAGGTGAAGCAATGGCTCTGATTAAATGATAAATCACTGTGTTTAGTCTTTTGAAATGGACAAAATTAACCAGCAAAACAACAGCATCACATTTAAAAACGATTCATTACAAAGATCAGTTACATTACAAAATTACAAAAATTATAATTCATTTTTTAATTCAACACAAAACTATTTGAGAAAGAAGCAAAATAGTAAATAAATTGATAAAATAAGAAAATGGCATCAAATCAACTGCTTGTTATTATGCTTTTATGCAGTTACTATACATTGGTTGTTGGTTAAAGGCGTGATGCATGGTGTGATGCAATTTATCATGATGATGATATCACCATATCACCATACTGCCCACTCCTAGGTACAACAAACACGACCATATCGCCACACTTAACGTTTACTGCATCTTCAAGCAGCACTCCTCAGAATCAAAAAACAGATTAGATTAACCTTCGATAGCTCAGTTGGCAGAGCGGAGGACTGTAGATGTTATAAATGGCCTTCCTTAGGTTGCTGGTTCAAATCCGGCTCAAAAGACAGCTCGCTGGTTCATATAGTGTAGTGGGTAACACCTCTGCCTTCTACACTGGGGTTCAATCCACTGCCTGGGCAAGCACCGCACACTATACCAATAAGAGTCCTTGGGCAAGACTCCTAACACTACCTTCACCTACCTGTGTAAAATGATCAAACTGTAGGTCACTCTGGATAAAAGTGTCCACCAAATGCCATTAATGTAAATGTAAATTGGTTACACTGGCATTATTGCTCATCATATAGGAAACATGCCTTTGGATTCTCCTAATATGAATGTACAAAGTGGCCCAAACATACATAAACACTGTCACTGTCAGAACAAAACCCCATCTTTCAAGATTTTCCCTTTAGCAAAATTTGAATGGCCGCTATAAAATATTCCGAACATAACCACCAGATGGCGTAGACCTGCACTTGCTCTCCTCACTGTGCTCCCTACAATAGAGCAGCTTATTTCAGAGGAAGGAAGACTGGTTTATGAAGCAATCTGTCTCAATGCTGAAAACCCACTCTAATCTCAAGAGGAATCCTCACTCGGCTGTTTGGCTAACAGTGCTTATCAGACGCCACAAGTACACTTTAACAGTCCAACACAGAAGCAGTTTATTAAGCACTTAAGCTCTTACCGTATGTGCGTCCGCCGATGGTGCACTTCTTGAAGGCCATGATGTTCTGCGTGAGCGTGCCCGTCTTGTCGGAGAAAATATACTCGATCTGGCCGAGCTGCTCGTTCAGAGTGGTGGTGCGGGCTTTGGCAGGAGTGTCCTTCTCAGCGTAATACATCTGCAAATCCCAGTTTATAAACTTACTCTGCCCCAGCCGAATCACCTCCACACTGAGAGAGAGAAAATGAGAGAAAGAGAGAGAGAGAGGGAGAGAGAGAGAAAATGAGAGAAAGAGAGAGAGGGAGGGAGAGAGAGAGAGAAACAGAGTTAAAAAATGACTCTAGCCAACAATTCGACTATGATTCCTAACTAAATGTTTTAACTCATCATGAAAGGTCAAACTGCACCACAATTCAATGGAATTAAATCATTTTGATACAATTTTGACTTCAGAAAAAAACACATAAATGTGACTGGAAGAACTATTAAACAGTACAAAATGACACCAAAGTTCCAGTTTTAAGTGATTTTAATCTGCTATTAAACATTTCCCTGTGGAAAAATGAATCTCTGTTCTAAAAAATGCAACCAGCAGATGGCAGAAGGCTTCAAATGTACCATTCGACACACATCCAGACTTCTAATCCCAGTAAGACTGACACGGCGGTCTATCTGTGCTAGATTTATTACGGTTCCCACAAAATTAGCAGGAGGGCTCGTGTGTGAACAAAGGCCCATACATTACTGAGGAAGCTGAGTGGGTCCTGTTTTTTGCAGGAGTGTATTTTGTATGTTTCCGGAGACACACCACTCAAAAACGTTTGTGTGTGCATGGCTGCTACTACATAAAACTGATCCTGCTTAGCCTGCAAAACGGAGCATTTCCATCATGATTTAGTTTTTAAAGTCGAGTTTCCAGTTTTTGTGAATGAAATGCTGCCAAAGTGTATTTTGTACAAGTTTCAGAAACTAAAAAGGGGCAGTCGTGGGCTGGAGGTCAGGGAACCAGCCTTGTGACTGGAAGGTTGCCGGTTCAATCCCCTGAGCTGACAGTACGTGACTGAAGTGCCCTTGAGCAAGGCACCTAACCCCCAACTGCTCCCTGGGCGCCGTGGATAGGGCTGCCCACCACTCCGGGCAAGTGTGCTCACTGCCCCCTAGTGTGTGTGTGTTCACTAGTGTGTATGTGGTGTTTCACTGCACTGTTCAGACACAGTTGGCTAAAAGGTTCATTCATTCATTCATAAAGAGCTGTTGGCCATTCAGACTGAGGACGTCACCTCCTATTTAATGGGACTTCCATGGCAAACGTGAATCTGTGCATCCCAGTAAAATACTGTTTAACCCTTTTGTTGCCATATAAAGGCGTAGCAGGTTTTACAGTGATCCGGCAGTGTGTTTGTGCTGTACTTCTGGGCTGTGGGATGTTAGAGCTGGTTTCTCTCACCCTGGCTAGTGACGGCAGGTTCCTCCGAATGTCCTGATGTGTGAATCCTGCTGCTATTTTTGACCCTTTGTTTATAACATGACCCTTTGTTTATAACATGAAAGCTAAAAGCAGAGATATAACAGTAGCAAGTGGGTTGTGCGTGATTTTGGAGCTGGATTTCTGGCTGATGGATGGATCACAGGTGGATGAAATCACTAGACGGTGAGGGTAGAGTCTGATGAGTGAATCATGTCGCTGTTTTAACCCTTTGCTGGAATATGAAGGCCAAAAAACAGAGCAATGATATCAGGATTTTGGGTGATTTTCCGAGCTGAATTACTCACTGATGCTGACGTCACAGCTCGCCGCCGTCACACTAGCTAGTTAGGGTCGGGTCTGCTGAATAGTCTGATTTGTGTATCATGTCTGTAGCTTAAACCATTCTTTGGTGATATGAAGCTGAAGTCAGCTATTCAGGACACCCTACCCCTAGACGTGAACATGCAATGGAGGGGTAAGGGCTCAGTGTTAGGGGTGAGGCATTAAATGGGATTGAGCCTAAGTGCGCTACAGTCTCACCTGACGTAGAGCGAGATGGGCACCATGGTGTTAAGGACGATGATGTAGCCCCAGAAGCTGAGGAAGCCTCTGTAAGAGGCCGTCTCGTTTTTGCCGTCATACAGATACCAAGCCAAGCTGCCGATCTCCTGATACCAGAACGAGTGTCCGATTGCCAGACCAGCACACACCAGGACCAGCACCACAAAGATCTAACAGAGTGTGGAGGGAACAGGCAGTTGAGATTCTCCCCATTAAAGTTCTTCTATATGAAGCATAAACAGAACATTATTTTTGCTGCATTGACATAAACTACCAATCTGAAGCAACCTGTGTCTTCTTCCAGACACAGATTAAGCATACTCCTGTTCTAAATGACTCTGTGGTGACCGTCCACTGAAGACACCACGTTGTCCAGGACGGAGAATAATCCGCAGCCATAAACCTCTGTCACTGCAAAGGTGTTTGAGGACAGTTAACTTACAGTGTAGACCATGTAGTTCATTAGGTAGTCTATCTTGGTGCGCTTGAACCTCGTCTTTCCACCGTTCCTCATAATCTTAGTGTCCGCTCCTGCGCAGACAAAGAGAGAGAGAGAGAGAGAGAGAGAGAGAGAGAGAGAGAGAGATAGGTAGAACTCAGACCAGGGGTGTCAAACTCAACCACTAAAGAGGCCATATTAAAAAATCTCAACAAATCTGTGGGTCAGAGAAAAAAATATTATTTCATTTTTAATTAAATGTTGTGCTGCAACCCAAACTGACCACTGTTCATTCAAAATATGCAAAAAGTTCAGCAGTAAATTACAGGCACTTGTAGTAGAGCTTGAAATATTACATGAATATTTGAAATATTCAAAATTTAAATTTCCCCAAGAGCTGCTTGAACTAGACACCTGACATCCTTTCTTTGCTGAAAGTTCATTAATACTTGGGCTCAGTTTCTGAGCTGCTGAGCTGACGTTGGGTGTTTATGTTGGTAGAACCGCAGCTGAAATGCAGCTGGTGTGTTTGGTGATATGACTGGTGTGGAACTGTGTAGAATTGTGTAGAATTGAGGTGTAACCGCTGTCCCATAGATTGTTGATAGGGTAGGAGAGTCGGAGCGCACATTACGTTGCAGTGCATGCTGGGGAGTGTAGTGCAGCACATGAAATGGGCTAATATTAATAGAAAATTACACGCTTTTGTGGGATTGTGTCGTGGGTCTGATCTGGCCTGCGGGCCTTGTGTTTGACATACAGGCTTTAAACCTAAACATAAAGATCAGGAAGAAATATTTATTATTTATAACTCTTATCAAGAGAGATGCAACCCTGAACACTGCTGGTAGCCTTTTTAGACATTAGGGTCATTTTTTACAGACCACAACAGGAGTGAAAGGGCTGATTTAGAATCAGTATATGTGACTATGACAGGAATCTGACCCAAGATCAGTCCTGCTTTGTGAACACCAGCCCTGATGTTGTCAGAAGTGACCCGACATAATGATCTAGTTTTGTTCATTTCTATAGTTCACAGTAAGTCATACTGTACGCATCTGTGCAACCAAAATGGAGACCTGGACGCGGTTTGAGAGAAGTTGTAGTTATGAGAGGATGCATTTATGGAAAAGATTTGGGTGACTATTGATTTCTAGTGTTTCAGCAACACTAACCTCGTAGCTCAAGTTGTAAAGAAAAGAAGCAAAATTTAGCATGTCTGATTGACTGTGTATGGGGTAAGTGGAGAACTGTGCAAATTCAATTTTTTGCCAAAATATTCCTTTAAAGAGATACTCTGGGCTTTTTCTGTGGGATTTCTGGTACTGAGATGTTGCGTGCATCTGTGACAGCCTGAAGTTACTGAAGGGGAATCACCATAGGTCCTGCACCAGAAGGGGGCGCCCAAGAGCAATGAAGCAAGTGGAATCCGGGTCAGCCCACCAGCTCTATTCCCTAGCTTTGCTGAAACAGATCATGAAGAATGCTGAACATAAAGTCAGTTATGCTGTGGGCAATTTTTCCAAAACTAGCTGAACTTGTGACAAATGGGTGAAACCAGTTCCAAACCAGTTGTTCATTGTACTTTAAGTACTGGGAGGCTGTGTTAACTTATTTTCACTTAGAAAATCAAAAAGCATTTAATTTGACCAGGGGCGTCTTTTACATAAGACAGATGTATGATTGATGGTGACATCATCTCTAGGCTCAGGCTATGTCGAGGTGCTCGTGTGTAAGCGTGCGTTTCTTTGTTTGCGCCAGAGAGTCAGAGAGTCAGAGAGAGTTTTCTAACCGGCGAAGATGACGAGTCCGCGGCACTCCTCTGTGTTTCGGAGCTTGCAGCCTCTGAGCAGCATGTTATCCAGGTCCAGTGGGTACATCTCCCTCCTCCACTTCATGGTGCCTGTAAACTTATCCAGCCGGTTATTCGGCTCCTCGCACAAGATCATAGCTGCGGGGCAGATGAGCGATGACGTGTCACTTACAAAATATTTTAAATGCAATAAAAACTTGTGCCAACAGTATTTTTATGATGTTTTGTGTAAGTATTTTAGAAACAAGAAGTTATTATATGATATACTGTACGTATATGTGTGTATATAACATATATGTATATGTGTGTATATACACTGATCAGGCATAACATTATGACCACCTCCTTGTTTCTACACTCATTGTCCATTTTATCAGCTCCACTTACTATATAGGTGCACTTTGTAGTTCTACAATTACAGACTGTAGTCCATCTGTTTCTCTGATACTTTGTTAGCCCCCTTTTACCCTGTTCTTCAGTGGTCAGGACCCCCATGGACCCTCACAGAGCAGGTACTATTTGGATGGTGGATCATTCTCAGCACTGCAGTAACACTGATGTGGTGGTGGTGTGTTAGTGTGTGTTGCGCTGGTCTGAGTAGATCAGACACAGCAGCGCTACTAATACTTTAGCTACTAAGTATTTTTTTCCTGCATAGCTTTCTGCTAATACTAGTACTGTCATCAAGTTTAGAATCATTATATACACACACATTATATACAGTCGCACACAAAGGTCTGGTGCCCTGGGTCAAATGACTAATACATACATGGTCTTCTGAGTGTAAATCAGTCAATACATTCTCTACAGAGTAAACACTCCTGCACACCTTAATGTACAATTACTGTTTATTGCTGAATTTAAGATATTGGGGGAAACTTAAACATAATTTGAACTGCGCAAAAGTGACATATAACATGTTAAACTCAAATAAACTGAAACTGCACATTTGCAGTTATATGCTATATTGAACTTCTCGGTAGAGGTGGTGGTGTGACTTGACTGGAGGTGTTCAAACATCTGCATATGACTTGACAGCTGGGTCCAAACAGGTTTTATATAACTGAAAGCGATTCTAAACTTCTGAACAGTAAAGTACAATAAGCCTCAGGATAAAAACCGAAGAACTGACTAAATGTGCAGCTTATGTGGTCATATAGTGTCTAAAACTGGCCACATGATGGCGAGCTACCGAGTTTGGTCGACTCGCTGCATGCAGAAGTCTAACTCTATGGAGTTATAATAATTCTGTTTGTTCTTAGGTATCTGTGAGTAAATAAAATCAAACATGAATATGGACAGAAGCACGCATACATCATTCTACAGATAAGTGTAGCAGAAATGTTACCGAGAGGTGCCCCCCACCCCCCACCCCTCAGTGCTTGTACGTATGTATTTTAGGAACAAGAACTTGTTATTTTATTTGTCAAAAACTTTTAGAACTTCTGTGAAAATCTGATGAAGTTTTAGGTCAAATTTATGCAGAAATATAGAAAACAAATTTTTATAAACTTTCAAGCACCATTGTGTGTGCGTGTGTGACACACACACACACACACACACACACACACACACACACACACTCACTCTGCACAGATCCCCCCAGCCCCTCTGCCCGCAGTGCTCATATTTACCATCAAAAGCCGCCAGCTGACTCTCCTCTTGAAGTCTCTCATGAGTCACCTTCGGTCCCATCTTAAACTTCAGATTAGTCTCTCTACAAAGTACACAAATAGAAAACAAACAAACATCAGTCTCAGGACTGTCATCAGTCTCTTGGTTATATTGTTTACCTTCTTTAATTCCCTTTGGTTTCTTTGTTGTTATTACTAATGTGCTGTAAAATGACATTGGCTGTACATAAACGGGTGCAAATTTGGTTGTGGGGTGGCCAAAGTCAGAAAGCTCATGTACAGTTATTAAAACCAGGTAAACAAACTACAGTTAGGATTATCACACTGATGCCTAATGCCTTATATGTCAATATTAAAACACTAAAAAGAAGCAAAAGAGTCAGTTATATTATAGTTATATTTGTCAGTTATTTTGCCGACTGGCATTGATCTTTTTACATTATGTGACAATTCTTAGTCTCATCTGCATGTTGTTGTAAATGTTTTAGCAAAATTCCTCAATAGTGATGAATGTGATGATAATTAAGCAGAAAGACGAAGGACTGTTATTACGCAAGTCAACAAATAATCACAGTACAGTCGAAAACAGTTCCTTTTATAAGACACAGGAAGGGCGGGTCAGCTCTTCTTACTTTTTCTGTGATTATTGATGATATCTAAACAAACTATTTTGGCTTTAATTTAAAAATTAATGTTATATGGGAAAAGTTGGCAGCTACATACAGCTGCATGCTGAAGTCTGAACACCTGGACATGTTTTGTTGATTTTCTAAGTGAAAATAAGTGAACACACCCTACAGAACAGAAATATGGCATCTTTCTGCAAATTTTACTGGACAATTTCTATTTATTTGACATAAAAAATAAACATGAAACATAAGATGTGCCATAAGATTTGCACAGACTACATTTTATGTGTTATTTGTCCCCAATATGTTTAATTCAGCAAACAAACAAACAGTAAATGTGTATTAAATGGTGTTCTCTGTAGAGGATGTGGTCACCTAGGCTATGTTCACATTACCAGGTTGAAGTGGCACAAGTCTGATTTTTTGCCCTAATGTGACTCAGATCTGATGTTTTCAGAGCTGTGTGGACACAAATCTGATCTTTTCAAATTTAACCTGAGCCACTTTCATATGTGGTCCTAGATCAGACACCTATCCGATTCGTGGCCATGTGACCTTAATGTGACGTTCAGATGGGAATTCATGTGCTTTTTTTCCACTGTGCGTGTGGCATCATTCAGCGTTACCACGGCAGCAGCGCCGAACAGAAGTTAAAGCCTGTAAACGGTGGAAAAGCAACACATCTCACCTTTTTCTCCTTCGTCTCGCTCTAATAATGAAGCTGAGAGCTGATCAGAGTTAATTATCTTCTCAGTGAAGCTCGTTCTGCTCGTTAGTTTGAGCTGATGATTCACGTGATTCATTCATGTGACGTTACTGAGTAGGATGAGCTCATGAGGGTCATTTCAGGACGCCGGTTCGTCACATTAATGACAGATTTGAGTCACTTACCTAAACGAATGTGAATCATCACGTCATCGGATTTGAGCAATGAGGCTTGTAATGTGAATGTAGTATTATTTAAATTTAGAAATTTGATTTGTTAAATTGGATGCCCAAATTTTTGCAACTCAGCTGTAACTCTAATACTTTTTTTGAGGACTGTCTTATTCCCGAAATGATTTTATGTAATTTCAAAGAGCGGAGAGGTCAAATTTTATTTTGTATATATGAATAAGACCGGTATGTATTTTATAAGCAGTAGAAGCAGAGGTGCAGTAGCATCAGTATTGTTTATTTTATTATCCTTAAAAGTGCCAGTAAACTTTGTGTAAAGATAATAAGTCCTTTCCCTTTGTTTTGTCCATCATTTCAATGGAAATTTCCACTCACTTGTCTTTTACCAGCGTCTGTATGGTCAGTGCAATCGCAGCATAGTTGCTTCTGGGTCAGTTTATGATACACACCCAGAATTAGACTCTGTCTCTCTGAACACGGAAACATTAAAATTTCAAACAAAACCCAAAATCAATATTGACTGTTGAGGATCCTCGTCATGTTCGGCAGATCAGGAGACGTGGCAGTGAAACGTTATAGGGCTGGAAAACACGGCCCATTCAAAAGGCATGAGAAAAAAAGCATGTGTGTCATGTGTCTTTGGCTTTGCGGTGTTTATAAAAACACCCACAAATCAAACATTTGTCCATTAAGTCCATTAATGCTTAATGCAGGGTTTTATCCTCAGCAAGCTGTAGCATTTATCTGAGCCTTTAAGCAGAGCTCAGTTTAGAGCATCCATGTTCATCAGGACAGTGGAGTGAAATCATCAGTAACACTTTATTTGAAGGCTACCTAAACATGGACATCAGATCACGTGCATAAGCAGCGAATAATGCAATAAAATAGAAAACTTCACTATTTCTGAACAGCCTATGTGCCGTAAGATGCTTTATTATGTACTGACACTATTATGTTTATTACACCACATTATAAGGCATCATTTTCAAGTAACGGAACTGGAGATCTAGTGAAGAACGCCTAGATCTAGAAAAGATTGACAATTTTCACACATTTTTCTACATCATTTAGTCTGAGAGCTTCTTTCATGGGTCTGATATAGTATATGGTGTTGCTAAATATGTCTGGGCCTTATAAGCTCTTCATAACAGTGTTATAATGGAGTAAATGTGTGTCACTCAAGTTCCAGGGCCCTTATGCCAATACAATGTAATTCACTTCATGAAACATCTCATATTATACTGTGAATACTGACAAAGTGTAATAAAGTGTGAACATGTAAAATGTTATTGAATGTTTATGCATATGTTATAAAGTCCCTATGTAGGCAGCCTTCAAATGAAGTGTTACCAAATAATCAGTGTTTTCAGATCTGGGTATTTACAGTATATCATTTAGCCTTCTGCACTAAAAGCACTTCTAAAACCCATTTTAAACTTTAACTGGAAGCTCTTAAACATAATTAATTAATCATAATTAATGCAATTTAATAATTTCTTTCAATTATGAACATCTTAGTGAAAGGTCTCACTGCTTCAGTCCTTACCAACAACTAAGTGTTGTTTTAAATGGAAAATGTAAAATCTGAATTTGGCGCTCATTGTAGGTTGGAAAGACTCAGTTACGACACATTTCCTCAAACAGATAAAGCTGCTGAAATGGACCTGCTAACAGAGCTGAATGAAAGAAGACTCTTACCCATCCAGTTCTGCTGTCTCTACGTAACACAGGCTGTTTGGTTCAGTGCTGGACAATAACAGAATGTCTGCCTACATGATGCCAAACAAGAATCACAATTAAATCTATGATCAAATTAAATCAAAATCATACCATGAATGGAACAAAGTAAACATGAAAAAGAAGAAACATACAAAAAAGCAAACACAGAGGATGGAGGCAAATCACAGCAAACACTATTTCAGACAAATAACACTTTAACTCCAGAAAAGAGCCCCCAGAGGTCGTTTTGTGGGTCGCCTTACAGGAATGAAGTCGTTTTTCTTCAGTCGGACCACATCACCAACTTGAATGTCCATCCACTTGGCCTGCTGAAACCTGGAACAAATGGAATGAATAGATAAATATTACAGAGAAATACATAAATATAGCAAACATTAAGCATTAGAAAGCAGACAGTTCTAGGTAAACAGTCTGATTGGCTGAGCCAAGTTTGAAAACAGTGCAAAAATACACAATGTTCACACTTAATGCAAAAGTCTGGGCACCCCTGGTCACATTATATGCTTTGCTGATTTTGTAGTACATAAAAAATGTCATATTTTGATTAAAAATCAACAAAACGTAACTTTTTCAAGCAATTTTTTTTAACTGTATGACTACACAACTTCACTCTTGCACCTGTTAATCCACCAAGTTAATAAAAACGTTGTGCTGAGTGAAACTCAATATCACAGTACTTTCTGAATATAATCAGGTATCACAGTATCTATTAATAATTAGGTTTGCATTAATAAAGTCAATGAGCCTGTGCTTCCTGAGTGCTGCTACTCTAAATGTCTTACAAACCTGATGTAGCTTGTTTCAGTTCGTTGTTAGTCCTTTTAATATTGCGCCAAAGGGAGCTGTTCACAGTTTTATAACATTAACCAGGGAGTACATTCACAGAAAAGAAAAAATGAAATGCACTATTTATTTCATTTGTATGGATTTTAACCCTTGTGTGTTGTTGGACTCTGTGGGACCCATTTTCAATCTTCACCAAAAACAAAACATAACGCGATTTATTATTATTACAATCTCAGATTCTTGGCCTTTGCTCATTTTCTGTGAAGAACATATAAAATAATCCCTTTTCAGTGTCTTCACTCTGTTCATCCCCCACACATTTATATTACACATGTGGTGTTGGGTGAACCTGCGGGGAGTAAAAGTGTGGAGGTGCTGTGTCCTTCACTCTGTTCTCCTCCTACATGGCCTGCTGTTAGTGTGTGTGTCGCTGTGTGTGTATGTGTTTGTATATATGTGTGTGTGTGTGTGTGTGTGTGTGTGTGTGTGTGTGAGAAAGTGGACAACATAGACAGGCTGCTGACTGGCTACAGCTGCTAAAGGAGAACCCTACGCTGACCGCTTGTGATATTTTAAACATCTGGCTTTTTTACCTAAATGGTTATGGCTGTATTGATTTAAAAAAACAATAATGTAGTGGGTCCACCAGACCACTGAGTAACAACATCAACACCAAACAAGGCTTAACTGTCCTTTCAAAACAATTTGAAGCAGCCAGTAATTGACATCCGCTGCAGTCACCTGTCCGGACTTGATCACATGAGTAAAGTGTGCTAAATTGAATGGCAACAGAGATATTGAGCATCACACAGCACTAATCTTTAACCCTTACGCTGCTTTGTAACTATAGCCTAATGCTAACATACTACAGTATTTGATGTTTTTGGCAATTAGTATTAGAAATTAATTAAATCATTTACTGAGCATCGTTATAATCATATCATAATTTGTCATCATTTTATAACACAGTGTCTAAACTGTGGCAGAATCACTTATTCACTAAATCCTGACTTCCTGTTTCTCCCACCTGCCATCAAGAAGCACCTCACACTTCCTGTTGTTGATTTCTTTGTCCATCCTGTGTCGAGCCTGAGAGTGAATGGCAGATAAAGAAAGGGTGATCAGTGGGGGGGTAACGATATGATTTTCATACAAGATCATAAAAGATCATAAGAGAATGAAATATTGCAAAGTAACGTCATTATGCAAAGTACTGATCGTCAACAGTGCAACTCAACTACGAACAAAGACAGACAGGAGGCACCCAAGTGATGGTTATATTTACATATTATTTTTTATGATTTTGTGATACCGTAACAAAACTATTATCACTGTTTTCCAAACAAGTCGCTGTATACATAATTTTATTATTATTATTATGATCTCATGCCAATAAACCAAAATTCTTTCACTTTATTCACTTTCTTATTCCAGTGGAAACTCCTGACTCTATTGGTCCAGATTTTAAGACACACATGCTTAATAAAAACCCTGCACAATTACTTACCAGGTCATCTATCAGGTCTTTGACAGCAGTGATGCCGAGCACCAACACTAAGGGCACCAGCGTGGTGTACCAGGGCAGTGTGGAGATTTGTGGGATGATCTAATTAACCAGAAATATAATGACCATCAGCCGTGTTGAGAACAAATTCAAAACTCTGCTTGCATTGAATGGAACAGATCAAAAACAGTCAGACATTCATTCTACAAACTGCACAGCCCAAAAGACTATCATAAGAGTACTTCATTCAGCATTTTTCTTATATTTTATTTTCCCCAGGACTCTGCTTGTAACCTTTGTATGGTTTTATGTACCAAAAACAGTCGAAATTCATTTTTACATGATCTTCCCCTACCTCTATTTATCTCTAACAGCTGCAGGTTTATTTATATAGCGCCTTTCGTACACTGCTGTCATTCAAAGTGCTTTACACTTTTAGTAAGAAAATAGAGTTGTTTTTAAAAAAAAGCATAGAAGAGAATAGAAATTAAAAACATGATTAAAACAACAGATTTAAAAGAGAAAATCATTAAATTAAAAATCAAATTAGAAATTAAATTTGGATACTTAAAAAAAATCTAATTAAACAGTTAAGCAGGCTGGTTTTGTTGTGCCTGTAAGCAAAATAAATGTCAAAAACACGTCTGATGACAATGATGGGATCATTTGAAGGCTGCAATGATACATTTGCTTCCTGACAGCCATGAACAGCACAACGTTTAATCGTTTTCCACACATCTTCCACTCTTCAATAACGCTGCTGCAGACTGTCAATATCCACAACAGTCAACACTTCAATGAGAATGGGTGGGACTAGACTGCTGTCTACCGAATGGGTGGTCATATATAATTTCATGGTTGTGACATCATAACCATGACAAAATCTAAACTGGCTGTTTTTGCAGCTTAGTTTCCATGTATTGTATGAGCAACAGAAACTACATCAACAAAATTAAAGAAGCAAGTTTTACACAGTATGGGCGCTTTAAGCGGTAACACTCGAAAGGTCCGCCACATACCTGTAAGATGAGCAAGGCAAGAAAGTAGAGGTTGGCCGCTCTCTTAAACTGCTCGTACAGGTTCAGAGGGAGGAAGGTCAAGACGTTGTACTTATAGGTCTTGATAGCGTTCCCCTGAAAAACAATAATAAATAAAAATACATTACAAAACATCAAGATTTGATGGCACAACTGATTCAAGGTTAATTGCATTGATTGCATCTGCATAAATAAATTGCTATGATGTAAACAAAGTCAATAAGTCTGATGTGAAATGCACTGTTCTAGAAAAAGGAATAAAAAAAATCACAGTGGTGGTGATAGGAACCAGACATCTGTAGAGTTTAATACCTCTAAAGCTAATTCACAGAGAGTTATTACATGCTAATGGTTATGAATATTTGACATTTAATGTCTGAGACACTGTTTTATGACAGTTTTTGAGATTTCGGCCTTTTTTTTTAATCTATTCATGGTGGAGAGTTACATGCAGGCTGTCATAAGAAAAACAGTCCCAAAAGAAAAAGACATTTTTTCAGCTTTTCCACTATTTTACCATCATCAACATTACATATAAAAACTCAGAAGACATGTTTAAGTTCACTGGTGGTTTTGATAGTAAATAAAATGGTTATATTTGTGTAGTAGCCCTCATGACTCCTGGTTCCTATCACCACCACTGTAAAGAAAAGTTTCTCTACAATGAACTATTTCACATTAAACACTCTTCAACTTCTCAATTACTGGACTATGCAGAAAAATCAATGGAACTCCCCTTTAAGGGCTTCTGCTAGCAATAACTTCACACCTGTTTCAGCCTCATCAACTCATAAATCATGAATCGCTGTGCTTTTCCTTGTGTGTCAGACATTTCAGCAGCAATTCCTGAACTGTTTTTGGTGTAGCTGAGTCACAGTTACTGTCTTACAGCACTGTCAGGATGATCTGTTGCTACAGTGGAGGATCAGGGAAGCAGGAACGTCTGCCTTCACCAGGAAATAGAAAGAGAATCAGTCCCTGAACCGCAGTGAACTGTGTATATCAGTGCTGTGTCTATCAGTCTTTATGAAACTGCATTTTTTCCTCCATCACTGACATCTTTGTTCAGTAACTGTGGCTTATCTACTTTGTCTCATTCTCTCTTGCTCGTTCTCTCAAACGGACTTTCTCCTTTAATGAGTGCGTTTACACGCACTTACAATCCGATAACTGCACAAAATCTGATTTTGTCAGTAATCCAATCAACGCGCTTACATGCACTTGAGTAATCAGATAATGGGAAAACTCCTGGTCGACATGAGTCAGACAGTAATTGGATTTCTGCTTTGAAACTGGTCAATAAACTCACAGAAGACGACGTGACGTAAACATAATGTAAAACTCAAATTTCATGCCGTGTTAAACATTGCGCCATTTTACCTGAAAATATGAACATACATCATCTAGAAGATGAATAAAATGTAAATTCTTCATTTCGTTGAGAATGTATTTGGTTTCAGCGTCACTCTAAAAGTGTTTTGCGGCGTCTCGTGGCGACGCTGCCTGCACATTTCTGGTACTGCCATCTGTTTCATGCACACGCAGACTGAGAAATCCGAAAGAAATCAGAGTAAGAGTTCACATGCACTGAGAAATCTGATTACTGAGCTAAAATCCAGCTCGTTTTATCAGATTTCTTAATCGGATTTCTAGATTGGAGTATGGTGTTTACATGACCATTTGAATAACTGGATAACTGCAGAAATCTGATTATGATCGGACTATTGAGTGCATGTAAACGCACTTAATTAAAGAGCATGATAGGAATAAATAGGCGTTATTAAAGTGATGAGTGTACTCTGGTAAAATCCATTCCTAGAATTTATTAAACTCTTAAAAATAAAGGTGGCAAAAAAATTTAAGGTTTTGATCGAGAGCTATGTGCTTTATTTTTAGCCAATATTGTTTTTTTTTGCTTAGGGTCAATTTTTTAATAAAAATCTTGGACTAAAATTAAGTGTAACAATTTGCAGATTCTTTGAATTAGAGTTTGATCAGTGTTACAATAAAGTTACACTTTCATATAAAGCAGTGTTTACAGTCTTAAGCACTGTAACATGACATGGTTATGAATACGCTGTCTGATCTCTGGGACGTTGTTTTGCAATAGTTTTAGAAGGTTTTGCCTAAAATGTATTTCTTTTAAATCTATCCATGGGGCGCATTCAGGGTGTTACAAGGCAAAACAGTCTTAAAGACATATTTTTTCAGATTTATCACTGTTTTATCATCATCAAAATTACATATAAAAGCTGAGAAGACTCGTGTAGGTTCACTGGTGGTTTTAGATAGTAAATAAAATGTCTATATTTGTGTTGTAGACATTGTGACCCCTGGTTCCCATCACCACCACTGTAAAGACATCTGAGTCTGTATATATAGACTTTATTTACAGTGAACCATTTCATACCAAGTCACTCTGAATGACTGCTGACATTTGAAAATTTTGAAAAAATACCCTTTAACTTTTTTATAAATACTTTGAAAAAGTCAACTGTCCTTTACATCATGCAGATCAGTCAGAATGGATCAAAATAATAATAAAATCTTGTTACAGTGGTATGCAAAGGTTTGGGCACCCCTGGTCAAATTACATGTTTTTCATAATTTTCTAAGCATGAATAAGTTAACACATCTTCTACAGAGAACACACTTAAAAATTACATTTTTCTGCTTGTTTGCTGAATTTAATGTTTATCATAACTTTTGCACGTCACATTTTAGGTTTTATTATGTTAAATTCAGCAAATAAACAGTGATTGTGCATTAAAATATGCAGAGGTGTGTTCTCTGTAGAGGACCTATTCACTTTTTTCACTTAGAAAATCAACACATGCAATTTGACTATCATACACTGTTAGAAATAAAGGTTCTGTTCAGGTACATTTTTCATTCATCAAGGTACAAACAATGTAAATGTGGCCTCAAAAGGTACAACAGTGGTTTTAAGGTCCAACTGTGCACCTTTAATAAGTTTTTCCAGGTGAAAAGTTCGTATTTGTACCTTTTTTCATAACTGAATGTTTTAAAACAGAACAATAGAATAAGAAGCCTGGAGACGAGACGGGGTGTGTGGAGTCAGTACAGCTTAGAAAATACCATTTCAATGGATTATGGAACAGTTATGTTCCATGACTAAAGGTACTGAGATGTACCCTTGATATACCCTACGACTGTCCATTTACAAAGTTCTATAAACTTTTTTCTATAAAGTTATTATGTCGATACAAGGTTTCGCTCTGGTGGCGATACCACCAGCTTGCTGTGGGTGTGAACTAGACATGCCAGGCTACAGTGATAATCATGATAATAGATGAATAGAGAGAAGGATGACGTCTCTTTATTTCCTCCACAGAGGAGAGTCTGACGCTACAGAGATTCCAGTGTCACATGCTGCAGAAAGCAGGAAGAGCACACATGCTAGAGAAAACGGACGAAAGGTGACTCAACGTGACTGATCTTCATCCCAAATATACGACACTGAAGCCCAGGTACCCTCAGCTGTCATTATCACACTGACCCACTTCCAACAAAGCAGTATGACAAATATAGCAGTGCTGAGAAACACTATAGGGCGATTGTGGTTCCGTCAAAGGTCAAAGGAAGACTGCACCAACACTTCCAGCAAAACGGAGCTGTAACGGAAATACTCATTTATTCCAGCTCTGATTAACTTGATCACTGCCAAATTCTACAACAACAAGCACAGCTCAGTGCCTTGATTAAGGAAATGCATGTCTTTGGAAGTTGGCCACCCGTTTCCAAGTAACTGATAAGGGAGCTAATGAGACCAACAGCAGCAATGCTACATGAGTAACTGATCACGGAGAAATACTGCATTATCACAACAAGTGGACCTGAGAAAGACAAACACAATGCCCTCTATAAGTACTGAGATAGTACACTATGGTCATATCTGTACGCTTCTTAACATATTGAGTATCTCTGAAATGGTAACGTTAAACAAGAAGGAAAAATACAGCGAGAAAATACACCGATCAGGTATAACATCATGACCACCTCCTTGTTTCTACGCTCATTGTCCATTTTATCAGCTCCACTTACTATATAGGTGCACTTTGTAGTTCTACAGTTACAGACTGTAGTCCATCTGTTTCTCTGCATACTATGTTAGCCCCCTTTTACCCTGTTCTTCAGTGGTCAGGACCCCCATGGACCCTCACAGAGCAGGTACTATTTGGGTGGTGGATCATTCTCAGCACTGCAGTAACACTGACGTGGTGGTGGTGTGTTAGTGTGTGTTGCGCTGGTCTGAGTGGATCAGACACAGCAGTGCTGCTGGAGTTTTTAAACACCTCAGTGTCACTGCTGGACTGAGAATAGTCCACCAAGGACTACAGGAAGGACTAGAGGATGACCAACACAAACTGTGCAGCAGCAGATGAGCTATTGTCTCTGACTTTACATCTACAAGGTGGACTGACAAGGTAGGAGTGTCTAATAGAGTGGACAGTGAGTGGACACAGTGTTTGAAAACTCCAGCAGCACTGCTGTGTCTGATCCACTCGTACCAGCACAACACACACTAACACACCACCACCACGTCAGTGTTACTGCAGTGCTGAGAATGATCTTAAGTTTGATATTAAGTTTACTTTAATGTCAACTCTTTGTCATTTTTTTAGTTTTTTGTTAGTTTTGGGCCCAGTTTGTCCTAAATTTTGGTTTTGGTTTCAGTCAAGGATTTTCATTTTGGTGCATCACTAATTTGCACAATGCTAACTGGTGGCTATAAAGCATTTGTTAGTTATATCAGCCATGGGCTACAGCATAAAACTAAAGAAGCAAACTTCGAATGCCAAACAAGTCTGGGCAGATCGACTAATTTTGGGGTGAGGGGTAAAACTGTCAAACTATCGTTTTAAAAATAAAGATAAGTGATAGTTCCAGAGGACAGTTCTGGACGGTTAATGACACGTGTTACAGATCAGGGAGCATAGCCTGTATGCATAGCCATTACCCCTAGCTTAAACAGGCTTTAATGGGTTGGTAGAAATGAAAAACAGTGGTGGCAGCTCTGGCTCTTTACTGAAAGATTCTCTGGAACACTGATTCATACTAGGTAAAATGTGTTCAATCTAGCAAAGCCAAAAAATGTTTGTGAACCGCCTTTAGCTTAGAGCCAACATACTACTAGAATCCTTTAGGGACACTAGCAGTAGCTAGCATTATGCTAGAGCTGTTTTTGTCTTGTTTTTTGACTGAGTTTTGCCATTTACTGCCCGAACTGAAGGCGTAACTCTAGTAGTCATGGTTTGTCGCTGTCTCACAGGTAGCTTAACTCTACCTGACTCATCTAATACCCAGACCTAGCTGAACAATACTAATACACATATATAAGAGCTCATGTTTTTCTTTTTTGGAGCTCTTTTCTACATTTCAGAAATCTTTCATCAGTCGGTGTAGAAGGAGACATCTTGCCTTTCTCAATCGTCTCCAGAACTTCTTACACCAAATTTATTGCTTATTATAATGTCTGTTGTTCTCCTAGTCCAGGGGTCTAACCCTAAATGTTAAGTAGAGCCATTTTGTCCTTTCAACAAAAAACTCTTTGAAAGCCACAACATTTTGTCAATTTTACTGAAGTACTGTTTTACCAACTTGAATGAAAATATGTCCTAATATGCGTTAGCTAACGTCCTAAATATAAGCAAAAACACAGACTTCTTACGAGGCTGAAGTCACCTTCTCATTCGCCACCTTCTTGTTTGAATTTCCCCATTCCACCTTAAATGAACGGAAGAAGACTGAAACTGCTGCAGCATTTAAGGCGGAAAGGGGAAATTTGAACAAGAAGCTGACGAATGAGAAGCGACTGCAGCTTTGTGACTTTTTTACTGTTTGTCAGTTTCTTGTTTCAGTTTAAAAGTATCAGGAAACCAGCTGGAGTGATTATAAATGCAAATAAGTCCATTCGTCTCCAAATTATCGATGTTCGTCTTAAATCTTTTTCTTTGCCTTTTTGTTAGCTACCAGCTAGGTGAGATTGATATCTGCATTGCTATGGTGACCAGCAGTCTGTGCGCCAGTCTTCAGGGTTAAAGGGTGAATTAGCAGTTCTACATTAACTCCAGCGTTTAAGATCATTTATTGTTAAACTTTGTTGAACGATCAGCAGAGCTTTATTTTACTGTAAAGGAGGATTATTTTATTTTTACCTAAAATCTAATTCTACTGTGGAGTCACAACAGGGAAGCCACATGCTGCTGACAGCTGTATGTTGCCAAAAGAAGAATTCAGAAATTCATACTTTACAAACACAATTTTACAGCACTAAAGTCCTTGGAGCATGAATCAGCATCATAATGCCACAGGGACACCACAGCCTGCATGCAAATCTGACCTTAAACAGTGCACTCTAGCAAGTGTTGCTGGTTTAAACAAGGAAAAGCTCTGCTGTGCTGTACGCGACATGCTTGGCCTCACACAGGCACAAACCTCCATCCCCCACAGCCTATACCTCGCATGTTCCGCACACAAACAGGTGCAGGTTTCATCCAGAAAGCTGAGTTTGATTTTTCCATGGAAACAATGAAAGATAAAGCGCACACTTACTGAGTATTTGCTCTTCGTAAAGCACAGAAAGACCTTCTTCTTGAATTCTGGAAGTTTGCAAAAATCTCGGTCATTCGCTTTGACTTGCCATCCAGCTTCTGTAATCGAGAGAACAAAAGTAAAATCGCGTAAGTGGTTCAAATATTCACAAACGGCAGGAAAGAAGGTCGTAAATTAGAATGTGGCGAATGCAACGCGACAGAAATGCATTCAAAATATTACATTCTCACTGGTCGCTGTCATGATCTCGAAGTCACAGAAATAAAGGTTGACTACAGAAGTGTTGTGCAGTAAAGGAAGAAGACCGTGCATTACAGTGATTTTACCATCACATTTTACTCCGTAAAGCAGAGTGAAAACTCCTAACCAGCATAATGAGCGAAGATTATGCCATGAATAACATGGTTTTTAATAACTTGGGGCATTATCTTCAAAGGTATCCCAACAAATCTGATTTTAGTACCAGAACTAAACACTTCTATTCAATTTGTTGAATCTGTTGAGTTATATAACAGGTAAAGCTTAAAATATTTCTTTATTTATAAGACTATCTTCCTAAAATACACCTAAATAAAATCAAGAAAGCTTATAAAATCAATATATATATATATATATATATATATATATATATATATATATATATATATATATATATGTGTATGTGTGTGTGTGTGTGTGTGTGTGTGTGTATAATATTATTATAATAATATATAAAACATCCCTTTGATGTTATGTTAAAAGGCCCATATCTTACTGTTTTCTTGTGCTGTTTTTTACTTATGAGGTTATTTGGTTTTACGTACCAGACAGTCATAATCCAATTTCAATTTCTCTTTATCTGTTACAATTAAATCGTTATTGTGACTTTACTATTAAGGTAAATAACCTCTGTTCTGATTCAAAAAGCAGTCCACTTACACTCTCAGTGTGAATGGGTGAGACTAAAAATGCTGTAGGCTGAACAGAAGGATCTGTGGAAATGTGTTGGTTTTTGTAACATCACAAAAACTGTGAATTCAAAACAGGCTGTTTTTGCAGCTTAGTTCACATATACAGACTGGGGAGTCAATGGTATGTTTTGGAACAATGTTTACAAACAATATTAAATGTTTTTTATTAAAAAAGTGACTAACATTTGGTTTTCAAGGACACACAGGCTTTTAGAGAAGAAAACAGTTCAATTAGTCCAATCTAATACTGTGATATTTGTGAAATATCATGATTTAATTTTATTAGTACCACACAGACTAAAGAACGTGGCACAGAAAGAAGTGGAGACGCACCAGGTTCTGCTGCTGGGACGGTCGGCTGCACCTCCTCCTCATCTTCATCCTGCTCCAACTCATCATCAGTCTCATCATCACTGTACGGCATGACCTCATCATCCGGCCCCAGGGAATCCTGGGAGTCCGCACGCGGCCGACTCATCCTGAGAGAGTGCACACACACTACAGAGGAGAGGGGGAGAGGGAGAGAGGGAGAGAGGGAGAGAGGGAGAGAAATAGATTTGACTTAATTGATTTTATAAGCCCTTCATTCAAGTGTATTTCAGGAAGATCTTACAGGAACTCAAACAAACGAATGGATGAATGAATGAATGAATGAATGAATGAATGAATGAATAGCAAGTGGAACAAGACAGTAAAAACTGAAAGAAAAAAAAAACAAAAACCTGAAGTAAAGGAAGAACAAAAGGCAGAAAAAAGGAAGAAACAGAAGACCAAAAGAATGAAAGAAAGAACCAAAGGAAGAGTAAACAAATGAAAAAGTAAACAGAAAACAAAACTTAGAAAAAGAAAGAAAAATATTACAGAAAGGGAAAATAAGAAAAAAAAATTAGACACAAATAGAAAGAATAACAGACAAAGAGCCAAAGAAAAATAAAAACAAAAGAAAGAAAGAAAGAAAGAAAGAAAGAAAGAAAGAAAGAAAGAAAGAAAGAAAAGAGACAGACAGGCCAACAGAAAGAACAAATAACTAAAGAAAGAAAAAAAAAAAAGAAAGAAAGAAAAAAGAAAGAAAAAAGAAAGAAAGAAAGAAAGAAAAGGAGCCAAGTAAAGTAAAAATAGACAAAAGAAACAGACAGAAAGAAAGAAAGAAAGCAGAGGAAGACAAAATGCAAAGCAGGAGTTGAACACAGCTCTTACAGCCTTTCACAGTTTGTGTTTTTCTTCAGCTGAGCTCAGAGTAAATAAAGAGCAGCTCTGTTTTCTCTATGTGAATTTACTGTATGGTAATAAGGAACCCAAACTCAGAGAAGTGATTCAGCCGCTTCATATCTTCTCCCACGCCCGAATGTGCACACAGAGCTCCACACACTTACGGTAAGACAGAAAGTCTTGCTCTAAAACAGCGCTGCGGTATCGAGCATGTGACATCACGTCACCTTTATCAGTCCGAGTAGAGCGCAACGCCATGGGAGGGTTCAGCGTTCACGTAAATCCAAATTACGCAACACGCTCTACAGCATGACTTTCTCAGGCTTGTTTCACAATCAACAAAGGAACTAAAATTAACAAAGCTGAATGACGAGCTCACTGTCACTGACAGAATAACACCTCCTATCCCTGTGGCTTTACAGGAAAAGGAAAAACATTAACTTTAATGTGCTTTTTTATTACTAACTTTGGACTATTTTATCTATACGCCTCATAAATTGCTGCTACTGTAACAAACCCTTATACACCGATCAGGCATAACATCATAACCACCTCCTTGTTTCTACACTCATTGTCCATTTTAGCAGCTCCACTTACTATATAGGTGCACTTTGTAGTTCTACAGTTACAGACTGTAGTCCATCTGTTTCTCTGCATACTTTGTTAGCCCCCTTTTACCCTGTTCTTCAGTGGTCAGGACCCCCATGGACCCTCACAGAGCAGGTACTATTTGGGTGGTGGATCATTCTCAGCACTGCAGTAACACTGACGTGGTGGTGGTGTGTTGGTGTGTGTTGCGCTGGTCTGCGTGGATCAGACACAGCAGTGCTGCTGGAGTTTTTAAACACCTCAGTGTCACTGCTGGACTGAGAATAGTCCACCAACCAAAAATATCCAGCCAACAATGTCCTGTGGGCAGCGACCTGTGACCACTGATGAAGGACTAGAGGACGACCAACACAAACTGTGCAGCAGCAGATGAGCTGTCGTCTCTGACTTTACATCTACAAGGTGGACTGACAAGGTAGCAGTGTCTAATAGAGTGGACAGAGAGTGGACACTCCAGGATACATTAATTGACTGAACACTGAATAGCGTTAAACATTTTAAAACTGCTCTTAGATGTTTAAGCGCTTTTGAACTCGAGCTATAAGAGTTTAAAATGACGCCTCATGTACGTCCATGATGTCTGTGAGCGTGAACAGCCAATGAGCTGCTCCGCTAGCCAACCAATCAGCACTCACTAGCAGCTGCACAAAACCAGTTCGCTGAAAAACATAGATTAAAAAGGCCAACAACAGAGTCTGAGACTCCGGAAGCCAAATGTTAGGTAACGAAGATGAGAAATAGTGTTAAAAATGATAATTTTTTCCCATCACTCTCCTCATACAGTGAAGCTGGCTTCTTCAAACCGTATAATGGTGCTCACACCTGTGTGTATCAGGTGTAAATAAGCTCTTTTGGTGTCTTATTTCTGCAGTTCTAGCATATTTCACACTGAGAACATGACTGACGTTCCTTATGAACGTGAACATGACTCGTCATAGAACAGGTTCTTACCTGGCAGCGTCATTCAGTCTGAGTAAAGAAAACAATAACTCTGTGAGGGAACAGTGTGGAAAATGTCAACATCCTGTGAAACGTGAATTCCACAGGGTCAAATTACACAGGAGTAGTGGAATAACTGGTGCCTCTCAACACCGTTCCTGCAGGTGGTGTTCAGTCGGACCCAGATTCAGCAAAACCCAGATTAAATGGGATTTTTAATGGTGAATCACCACTGCCTTTGGACTATAATTGGTCCACACTTATAAAATAAAGGCTCCTAAATGGTTCTAGGCTTGGACCTGCAGCTCTGCACTCTTAAAAAAAGGGGTTCTTTGAGCAACGCCACAGAAGAACCATCTTAGTACCCAAAAGAATCACGGGCCTCAATCACCAACATCCTCCTAAGCTCTTTTTTTAAATGTGTTCTTGAGAAAGGTTCTAAGAAAAAGTCTACGTCAGATTCATGACGTGTTCTTAAAGCGCTGCACTGTTCTCACCCTCGTGCTCCTGAGTGTGTGTAGATCCTGTTCTTACCTAAGAACAAATCCCGAATAAGAAAACACTGATTAATGTCCGAATCTTCGTAAAAACTGTGTGGTTTTTAAGAAGAAACTTCTTCTTAAGACTGGTTGGTGAAGGAGGCCCCATGTTTATAAATGAGATTTGAGCATAAAAAGCATTTTAAAGAACCTTTTATTATGTGGAGTTTCTTTAACTTTAAAAAGGTTCTTCACACACACATACCTTACTTGCAAAAATGGTTCTCCACTATCTTTAGGGAACCAAATATGGTTCTTCTATGGCAACATGCAAACAACCATGTCTGACACCTTTTGTTTTAAGAGTGCTGGAAACACCCTACAATTCAGTTTTCATACATTTCGGCATAATTAAGCGGCTGTGATGTAAACAGTCATTCAGAGTGGTTTGGTGTGAAATGCTCCATTACAGAGAATCTTATCGAGTCAGAATTGTTCACAGTGGTGGTGATAGGAACCAGACGTCTTAATGCCTCAAAGCTCTCTCACAGAAAATTATTACACCAATTGGTTATGAATATGCTGCCTGATGCCTGGGACATTGTTTCACGACAGTGGCTTGAAATACACTTTTTAATATTCATTTATGGCAGAGGGGTAACTGTACGCATGATGAAGCAAAACAGCCCCCAAAGAAAACTTATTTTTGTATTTATTCACATTCACCACCATTTTACCATCATCAACATTACATATAAAGCTCAGAAGACTCGTGTAGGTTCACTGGTGGTTTTGGATAGTGAATAATATGCACTCTGGTAAAATCCAACTCTTAAAAATAAAGGTGGCCAAAAAGTTTAAGGTTTTGATCGAGAGCTATGTGCTTTATTTTTAGCCAAGATTTTTTATTTAGGATCAATTTTTTAATAAAAATCTTGGACTAAAATTATGTGCAACAATTTGCAGATACTTTGAATTAGAGTTTGATCAGTGTTACAATAAAGTTACACTTTCATATAAAGCAGTGTTTACAGTCTTAAGCACTGTAACATGACATGGTTATGAATACGCTGTCTGATCTCTGGGACGTTGTTTTGCAATAGTTTTAGAAGGTTTTGCCTAAAATGTATTTCTTTTAAATCTATCCATGGGGCGCATGCAGGGTGTTACAAGGCAAAACAGTCTTGAAGACGTATTTTTTCAGATTTATCACTATTTTATCATCATCAACATTACATATAAAAGCTGAGAAGACTCGTGTAGGTTCACTGGTGGTTAATAAAAAGACTATATTTGTGTTGTAGACATTGTGACCCCTGGTTCCCATCACCACCACTGTAAAGAAATCTGAGTCTGTAAGTTTCTCTACAGTGAACCATTTCAAACCAAACCACTCTGAATGACTCCGTTTACAAATGATCAATTATACTGATACTGACTAAAGACCCGTGGCTGGTTTCCTAGATCCAGATGAAGACTAAGCCTAGTTTTGATGGAGAAGTTTTGATGGAGAATCACTGTTGGAATTGCAGTTTAGTTCTAGGTTTTAATTATTGTCCAAGAAACCAGTTCTACGATGTGGTTCTCTCACCATGCAGCCGCTGGGAATTCTGGGAGTGGCTTTTATTTGTCTTTTCATTCATGCCTACCATTCAAATTCAGCACCAGAAAATAAACACGAAGCCATTCCAGACATTAACTCTGTGCTGCACAGACAGGCTGGACAAACACAGATGTTTGTTAAGTGTACCTGTGGACATTTAGTCAGAGAGGCTGTTGTTCTGGGTTCGAATCTGTTGTCTGTGATGTTAAAGAACAGTAGAGAGTTTAGCTCTGTTTTATGCCTAAAGCAGGATTTCAGGCTCGTCCTCACTCCAGCACGGTAAACATGTGTGGAACGTACATGTCTGTTCACTCCACCTCCTCACACACACACACACACACACACACACACACACACACACCTCTCCTGGCCTCTCAGGTATTTCTCCCTCTGTGTACGAGGCCTTTGTTTTCACCTCTCCTCAGCATTTCCTTCTAATCTCTCTCTCTTCCTTTCTCTCTCTCGCCTTTTCTTCTCCCTATCTCCCTTCTCTTTCTCTTTCTCTCATCTCTATACACCTCTCTTTGCCTCTTTCTTTCTCTTTTCTTCTCTTTCTCTCTTTCCCTGTTTCTTTCTCTTCACCGCCCCACTGCCTCTCTCTCTCATTTCTTTTCTCCCATCTCTATACACCTTCTCTCTTTGCCTTTCTCTCTTTCC